TCCTCAGCCATCTCGATTTCTGGATTATTATCCATTAGTCGTTTGCTTGTGCCTCTAAGGTCCTTTGAGGCTAGTCTTTTTTTGTTATTTTTATTGTTTTGATATGTCTGTGTTTCTTGCTGAATTTGAGCTTCAATAAGCTCCTGCGTTCCTATTGGCCCCTCTAGTCTTGGCATTAGAGCCCAAGCTCTGTGAGAAAATTCTCACAGGCGTGAGAAAACGAAGGAAGGCCTCCTTCTTCTCCCTACTGCGCGCTAGCGCCTTAGCTGCAGGTGTTAAAAGTGCTGTTAGTCGATTCCTCGTGGTCGGTTCTCCTAGATAGCGTGCTTTCCTAGCGGTTTCCAGAAAACTCGAAGTTGGTGTGTCTCGTGGTCGGTTGATCCTGTAGGCTAGCCAGGGTGACCTAGCAGGTGTTCAACCTTTACGGCGTACGCCCAATACTGTACACCTCAGACCGCATCTTTCATTCACCGCATGTTGTATTCACCGCTCTAGTGGCTGGGCATGGTCTCTATCTCCAGCCTTAGTCATCGACCTTGGTTGAAGTACCATGTTGGTACAAGTAGGCTATTGGCTTTGTTCACCAGCGCCATTACCCAGCCCGTGTTCGTGGCTATAGCCTCATGAGAGCCAGTGGGGGAACCACCGCCATTTGCCCGAGCAACAGCCGACAAGGCCCCACAGGGCGGCATGTACTATAGCTACTTGTTCGAACCTAGGGACGACATGGTACCAGTGTCAAACACGGGTTCAAGGCATACGTGAGCCTTGAATGCATTGGAACACTCAAACACACAAGAAGATATATGTAAGGCTAGGATATCGTTTCCGGCTTACAGCGGAAGGAATCGGACCATTGTCAACACATAATGGTGCGAGATGGTCTTGCGCAGCCCCTTTTATGGATAAACCGTAAGGCTAGCACGTCGATCTCCTGTTCAATCCCCAGTCTGTGACCAGTCTATCCCCAAGCCGGCTAGCTGTTTAATTTCTATACGGATACGCTATAGAGGAAATCATACTGATCTTCACTTTAGATAAAGTGTCGTTGCTATTCACTGCGTCAAAGCACTGCTTACTTGTTGGAAATACCGTGCTGAGTATAGAAATTCACTGCTCTATCCTATATTCTACGACGTTGTGCAGTACGCAGCGTCAGCATCAGATTCCTCATAGAATATAGATACAGTGTACACGTGAATATAGCTGTGGCGCCGATGCCAAGAGCTCTATATGCACAGTGAAGTATTCTGAATGAATGATCCTCTGGAGCTTGGCAGTTACATCTACAATAACTGTGGCTTTCATTTCTATCTTCTTTCATGTCTGTTGTTTGCCTTCACAGCGACTTCCTCCAGCTGGACCAGCGCTACAAGATACTTCTTTCACCTTTGAACAATAAACCCCATCCCTGAACGTTACGAAGCCAGCTGGGAAGATCAACAGAACCAGTGGCGCGGTATCCGACACATCATCGTACCCCTCCTAGCCCTGCAACAATAGTGCTGCTATCCGAACCCGACACGTACTCGGCAGAAACGTCCAGGCTTGAGTAAGCAACTTTATTTGCAAAGGGGACAGGGGACTACATGTCACACATGGCAGTTGATGACTTGCACAACGATTAGGGCTTACTCTGAGGCGCGTTGTGGTATGTAGTCACGCATGCACATACTGATGGACCACAAGCAAGTCGTGTTCGCCAACAACAAGTCTTTACCACTTATGTAGAGTATTGCGAGCATGGTGCTGCAGCCAACGTGACACGGAATGCAGAAGACGGGACTTGCTGACCGCACCAATAGAATAGTTTCTCCAAGAGGATTAGCGGCGGATGCTTAGTTTACCTTCCGCTCAAGCCCGATCATGTCTGACTGATCGACCTCATCACCAAGCACGCCGGCTTTCTGCAGAATACCAACCGTCTTGTCTACCACTGCCTTGTCTACGCCCTTGACCTCCTGGGAGAAGCCTACCGTCTTGAGCCATTCCCTGGCGTCTTCTTCCGAGTAGTCCAGCTTGGACGTGATGAACTGGATAGACTCCTCCACGTTGTTTTCGAAATGTTTGACGCCCTTGTTAATCTTGTCTAGCACGTCCTCGAGTTCAGGCGAGAGAGGGGGCTTGGTGGCATTTGGGGCCGAGCTCCAGTTCTTTGGCGTCAGGAGATGGTTCGCCGCGACAATTTTCCATGACGACCAGGGCGTGTAGATTTCGCCAATGCGCTTGATCTCGCCCTTGTCGTAGTAGCGCTTCGAGGTGAAGTGCTCCCACATGAAAAAGTCGGCTGTGCTGTCATTGACACCGTCGCGGAGGTTGGAGAATGTGTTGAGTACCTCGACGGGAAACGGAGGGCTGCCGGAAGACGGATTCAGCCAGCCCTGCTGGTCTGCCAGCACGAAGCTCATGACATAGCTGCCGCTGCCAATCCGCGAGACACCCACTTTCTTGCCCTTGAGGTCTTGCACGCCCTGCAGCTCCTGTCTGCGCGCGCCCGTGGATATGGCCCAGCAGAGCGGCGTTTCAACGTAGGTGCCGACGATTCTAAAACCGGCGTCCTGTTTCGCGGCTTGTCCCTTGCCCAGCGCGGCAATCCAGCCCTCGGTCAGGCCAACGCCTATATCAATCTCGTCGGACTGCAGAGCTGTCACCATATGGCCAGTGCCAGATGGAAAGGGAATCAGCTTTGCATCGAGGTTGTAGTGCTTCTTGGCGAATTCAAGCGGGGTACAGAAGTGCTCTGGCGAAGCAATCAGCACGGAGTCTGGCACGGGCAGGCCGCCAGCTTACCTGGCACAAAGCCGATTCGTAGCGGTGCCATGGCGGTTGCTGACGTGGTGAGGCGGCGAAATGGTCGAGCTGTTGCTGGTGGTGATAGCGACGAGAGCCGTGCGAGACGCAGAGTGCGGAGCATACTCGGCTTAAGGGCGAACAAAGTTGCAGGCTGAGACACCGGCCGCTGGCGGCAATGTGAGGGGTATTCAGTCTGACACGTCCATGGAGAAAGGTTGATGCTGGGCGCGACGCCGGCCTGGATGCCGCTGGTTGGACGATGCGGCTAGTTGACGTGCTGGTCATCCCGGCCAGCACCGCGCCTTGCCGTCTTGGGCCACGCGTCTGTCACGTCACCATGTGATTCTTTCCACTCAGTGCTCATGATTTTCTGCCCGACTGCTGCGATACGCGGGGCATCGCCAGCGGTTGGCTCGTCGAACTGGCCATTGCCCGCTGGGCTCTTCGCGCGCTTCTTCGCCGTCCGTTACGAAAACGGGATATCGTCAGACTGCCATATTAATAGCATGTCAGATTTAATACGCGCAAAAACAGTCGCCGTAGTGGGCGCCGGGCCCGCGGGCGCAATAGCAGCCAAGTACTTGAGAGCCGAGAGGGCATTCGACAAGATTGTGTTATTCGAACAAAGAAGTCGGCCTGGCGGCATCTGGACCTACACTGGCGACCAAAGGAACGAAACCCTCTTTGACGTGCCCCAAACCGACCCGAACAAAGACGTCCAGAGGCCCGAGTGGAAGACCAGAACCAATGGCGCCGTTGACGCGTCCAAGACGCCCTCGTTCCTATCGCCCGTGTACGAAAAACTCGAAACAAACATCCCCCGTGGATTGATGGGCTTCCAGGATCTCGACTGGCCACCCGATAGCCAGCTCTTCCCTACCCACGAAACCGTGCTCCAGTACATCCAAGACTACTCTGCAGACGTCCAGGATCTGGTACGCTACTGCACTCAAGTCGCCAATGTCGTCCCCACCGACCCCAGCAACCCCAGCAGCCCGTGGACCGTCGAGACGGAAAACCTGTTGACCAACAAACACACATCGGAGGTCTACGATGCAGTCATTGTCGCAAACGGGCACTTCATCGTCCCCCACATTCCACACATACCGGACATTGAACAATGGCACACGCAACACCCCGGCCGCATCAGCCACTCCAAATACTACCGGCGACCCGAGGACTTTGCGAACAAAAAAGTCGTCGTCGTAGGCAACTCTGCGTCTGGCGCCGACGTCAGCGCGCAAATCGCAAACCACTGCCAAACGCCGCTACTGTGGTCCACACGCTCGCAGTCCATGTTCAGCGCGACCCACGGCGCCGCAAGCCAGGACACCAAGCGGCTCCCCGTCCCGCAGATAGCCCGATTCCTGCCTCTAACCCGCGGCGTGCGCTTCGCCGACGGCACCGAAGCCCACGACATTGACGCCGTGGTTTTTGCAACAGGGTACCTGTACAGCCTGCCGTTTCTGGAGTCCGTAGAGCCCAAGCTGGTGACGACGGGCGAACGCGTAAACCACACGTTCCAACACGTTTTCTACGCGCACCGCCCGTCCCTTAGCTTTCTCGCCCTCAATCAGCGCGTCATTCCGTTTCCCCTCGCGGAAGCCCAGGCGGCTGTCGTGGCCCGCGTGTATTCAGGCCGTCTGAGCCTCCCTGCTCTGTCGGAAATGCGCGCCTGGGAACAAGCCGTGGAAGAGGAAATGGGCGCAGGACGCAACTTCCACTTGATGCCGTTCCCCAAGGACGGGAATTACATCAACATGATGAGTCAGTGGGCGTTATCGGCGCCAGTGCGAGACGGGCTGGAAAACGAGGGAAAGGGCAAGACGCCGCCCGTTTGGGGCGAGTGGCACTTCTGGTGCAGAGAGAACTTTCCCAAGATTAGACAGGCGTTTGGGGCGCTGGGCGAGGCGAGGACGCAGGTTAGGAGCTTGGCTGAGTTGGGGTTTGATTTTGAACAAAGTAGAAGACGAGAAGAGATAGAGCAAGACAGGTGCGGATAGACCATAGAACGTTATGAAATAGACGTAGATTTTAGAGATCGTGCATGTCATGATTCAAGAACGCCCTATCGAGTCAGGTCTGCTCAGGCTTCTCAAGCGTAACCGCACCTGCATGTAATGGCAGAGTGAAGACAGACATTGATTTCGTGCGCTTACATATACCCATTCCCATATCCCTGTACCAAGAATAGGTATCGCATGACTGCACAATACAACCGTGTGCTGTATACACAACCATCTATCAAGACATGCCCTAAATGGTGACAGCAGACCCCCAACGCCGTGGCTATGCATCCGAATTGACAAATCCATACCATCTGGTACATGACACTACCTCCTTCCCTTGCCTTGGCCACCGCCGCCGCCTCCCCCCATACCAGGCATGCCGCCCATTCCTCCCATCATCTTCATCATAGCTCCCATGTCCATACCACCCATGCCGCCCAGCGCAGACAAATCAGGCATGCCACCACCACCTCCTCGTCCACCACCAAGCATTTTCATCATGGCACCAAGATCCGGCATTCCACCGGCACCGCCCATGCCGCCTGCGCCACCCATGCTCTGCATGCGCTTCTGCATGGCCGCAAGTTGTTGTTGCTTGTTGCCACCGCCCATGGCTCCCTGTGCTTTCTGCATGTTGGCCATGCCGCCCTTCATCTTCTTCGCCATGCCGGCCATCATGCGGTGCTGTGTGAGTAGCTCCTCAACCTCGCGGACAGAGGTGCCCGAACCACGTGCAATACGTGTCATGCGCTCAGGCTGGTCAACAAACATCTTGCCATCAGACTCCAACTCTTTTTCCGTCATGCTGTCGCAAATATAAATCATTCGTTTGAGTTTGGCACCGCCCTCTTCATCATCCATGCCGCCCATCATGCTGCTCAGTCCAGGAATCATACCAGCCATCTTGGAAAGGGGACCCATCTTCATGATGTTGGATAGCTGGTCGCGGAGGTCCTTGATTGTGAAGATGCCCTGTGTGATGTGCTTCATTGTGTCCTTTTGGTCGAGTTTGAGTGACTGCACGTGCTCGACAAGACCCTGTACATCACCCATTCCGAGCAGTTTTGAGACGAAAGCCTGTGGCGCAAAGCGCTCAAGGTCCAACATGTGCTCTCCATTTCCGAGGAAGACAATCGGGGTATGTGTTGCTGCGACTGCAGAGATTGCACCACCACCCGCTGCGGCACCGTCGGTCTTGGTAATAACAATGGCTCCGAAATCAGCGGCCTCCTTGAAAGCGCGAGCTTGAGATTCGGCAGCCTGACCAATAGTTCCGTCGAGCACCATGATTGTCTGGTCTGGCTTCACAGCAGTCTGAATCTGGACCATCTCGTCGAAGAGATCCTGCTCTTGCCTGTGTCGTCCGGAGGTATCCACGATGATGATTTCAAAGCGCTCTTTCTTGAACTTCTCCACACCCTCGGCTGCCACTACTACAGGATCTGTCTGTGTATGACTACCATAGTATGGAATCTTGGCTTTTGTGGCGTTCTGCTTGAGCTGATCAAAAGCACCAGCACGGAAAGTATCCGCGCAGACCAAGCACGCCTTGAACCCTCGTGCTTGGTACCATCTCGCCAGCTTGGTACACGTCGTCGTCTTTCCTGCACCCTGAAGACCGACAAACATGATGACGTTGGCTTTGCCCTTGCGCGGCTTGAAGGGCTCGGCATGCGGGTCGACCATTTTGACGAGCTCATCGAAGACGGCCTTTTGGATGAGGCGCTTCTTGTTGACGCCGGGCGCAAGGTGCTTGAAGTCGACGGCGCGCTTGATGGATTGCCGCAAGTTCATGACGAGTTTGACGTTGACATCGGCCTCGACGAGGGCGTTGGAGATCTCCTTGACCATGGAGTCGAAGGCCTTTGCATGTTAGCCACCTGTTCTTGCTGCTGTCCAAGGACGCACACCTTCTCGTCGAGGTTGGGCGACCTCGTGAGGTCTGTGACGGCGGCATTGATGCGCCGCCCGAGATCTTGAAGCACCATGGCGGCGGTTGTAGGGGGGCTATGCGGGGGTTAGGAGGTTGAAGGCGTGGGTGGTGGGTGGTGATGTTCTCGCCGTGTTCTGTGGGGAATGCAGTTAGGCATGGCGGGGCGCGCTTTGCCCTGCCGTCGGCCCTTGGCTTCCCTAACGCCGATCGTCTGGGACTTTTTTCTTGCGACGGCAAAGTGCCTGCAGCCACGCACACATCTCAACAACCACACAGCCACAATGGTGAACACATCGCTCAAGCGAAGACGGACCGAGGAGCATTTGCGGGGAAAGGGGCCCAAGAAGGAAAAGAGAAAGATCAAGAAGCAGAAGCACTACCACAGCTCGTCCGACGAAGAAGAAGGCGCCGCGCGCGATGCCCCAGCACGCGGGAGCAGCGAGGAGCCAGAAGAGCCCTTCCAGCCCTCGGGCGCCAATGCGACTCTCCCTGGAAAGCCCGAGCTCTCCAAGCAGCAGCTGAGGAAACAAGCCAAGTTCGAGGCGAAAAAGGCAGCGCAGCAGGCGGCCGCGGCGGAGGAGTCTTCAGCCAGCGACGACGACGACGACGAAGACGGTGATGCAGCGCCATCGAAGAAACCGCAGCCCAAGTTCAAGGCCAGCATACCGGCAAAGGGCCCTGTCAAGTCTGCGCTGAAGAAGACGGCGCCCGTCGACCACGAAGCGCCATTGCCCAGCGACGCTGAAGAAGACGATGCCTCGGACGCCTCTGAGCCTGAAGGCGACGAGTTTTCCATCGCCGACTCGGAATCCGACGCCTCGGACGCGTCTTCTGTTTCCGAAACCTCGACGGCAGCCGCGCGCAAAGTACGCAAGCGCAACGACCCCGAGGCCTTTGCCAACTCGATTTCCAGAATCCTGGGCTCAAAGCTGTCGACATCGAAGCGCACCGAGCCCATCTTGTCGCGCTCAAAGGATGCTGCGACGGCGAACCGCGAGCTCGCCGATTCAAAGCTTACCGAGAAGGTGCGCCGACAGCTCGTTGCAGAGCGCAAGGCTGCGCAAGACAAGGGCCGCATCAGGGACGTGCTTGGGCTGAACGACCCGAATGTGAGCACGGCAGCTACATCGACAAAGGAGAAGGAGCTGCGCCGGACAGCACAGAAGGGTGTCATCAAGCTGTTCAACGCTGTGCGGGCCGCTCAGGTCAAGGGTGAGCAGGCCGAGAGAGAAGCCAAGGCGGGCAATGTCGTCGGCATGGACAAGAGGGAGGAGAAGGTCAAGGAGATGAGCAAGCAGGGGTTCCTCGATATGATTACGGGAGGGCAAACCAAGGAGGCGAGTGTCGAGGCATAAAAGGAGACGGGGACACTGTGTGCAAAGAGCAGGATACTATGTTCATGATACCATATACTATACATGTGTTTTTTGGTCGTACTCAACGCCAGTCCATATGCAAGCGGAGTGTTTATATAGTACATGTGTCGGCCTCGAATGCTGCATATATGTGAGCCCTCGACAAATGCTGTCCGGCATTACCGCGCAAGACTCGGTACAGTGTCATGTCATGGCGCCCTGGCTGCCACCTACATAGGTCGGTAGATCCATCTAGATATGATACAAACCCTGTTACTTGTTCTCAAAATCGCTAGCCTGCAGGTTCCGCGTCATGCTCGGCAAGCGGACTACCAAGCCATCAAGCTCCTTGCTCATCTTGACCTGGCAGCCCAGCCGACTTGTCTCGGTGAGGCCAAATGCCAGGTCCAGCATGTCGTTCTCGTCGTCGTCGGGCTCCTCCATCTTGTCGTAGTAGGCCTCGTCTTGCACGATGACGTGACATGTCGAGCAGGCGCATGAGCCTCCGCAGGCGCCCTCCATTTCTATGTCGTTGGCTTGGGCAATGTCGAGCAGATTGTCACCGTCTGCGACCTGGAAAGTGGACGAATGGCCATCTTTGTCTATGAACGTGACTTTGCGCCTGGTCTTGTCAGCGGCTGTCTCTCGTGGCCAGGGCGGTGATAACGCACTCTTCGCCGGGTCGAGGGGGGTCAAGATGGCCATGGCGGGGTGCTGGACTGGCGGAGAATTGTCGGCGGTTCCGCAGCCACGAAGGACTTGTCGCAGCGACGATTGTGGATTGCCGTAGGACAGGAGAGGCCATATTCTGCGAGTGCATGCGTCTCTGCCACATTGCCGTGGCCCAATGGCTCGATAGTCGTGGTGGAGTCGCCCACGCGCTTCTCGCGCCTGCTGCCCTCGCGCCCCGCATCATGGAGCCAGCCGTGTTCGCCGCCATTTGCCGTGTCTGTGGTCGCTGCTGCGCAAGATGTCGAGGAGTGGTGAGGGCAGAGGAGAGCTGGAGCTGGATGTTTGCTTGGGCGTAGTGGGAGTGGGACTTGGACGCAAACCCGCCAATAGCCCGATTGCTGTGTGAGACGTCAGGAAATGCTGGCCGCACGGGCCCGGCGACATCCTTGTCGATCGGAGAAGCGCATGCATCCACCACCACCAGAGTCAGAAAACAAAGCAAGAAACATCTCACCCCGGACACAATTCCTCCCCGCCGGCCACCGCGACCATGGCGACCTCGCGCGATGCCCCCAACCCCCTCAGGCCCTACTACATTCCGCCGTCCATCGGCCCGCCGCCAGACGTGCCGCAGACGCAGACAGTCTCGTCACTGCCGCCCGCTTTCAAGCCACCCACCAACACCAGCAAAGCCAGCCTGGGCAGCCAGGCACGCGACATTCTCTCCGATCTCGACTATGACGCATACTTTCCCGAGACGTCGCCCACAATAGCCGGGCATGCCAAGAAGCTGCTGGACCATGCCCTGTGGAACTACACCAGTGTGCTGCTGGCCCAGCCATTCGAGGTTGCAAAGACAATACTGCAGATCCACGAGGCAAAGGGACAGCTCTCGGCACTGAAGGACAACGGCGAATGGGGCCACAAGAGCCGCCCGGGCAGCTTTGCCAGCGGAAAGTTTGAGGATGTAGGTACCCGGCCACAGGCGGGCGGGCTTGACATGTGAATACGGGCTAATGATGGGGCAGTTCCCGCCTTCAGAGGATGAGTCGGACGAAGACTCACCAGGATACTTTACAACGACTGCACCACGGGTAGACGCAACCTCGCCCTACTCGCCCTCCTTCTCGCCATCCAGATCGCCCCGCAGACGCCAACGACGGCTCGACAGCCGGTCTCCGTCACGGACACCCACCCAACCCCCACCCTCGTCGGTACTCCAGCTAGAACTGAAGCGGTCCGACTCTTTGCTCGAAGTAATAGGGCAGCTATGGCAGAAAGAGGCCGCGTGGGGAGTGTGGAAGGGCACCAACTGCACCTTCATCTACAACTTCTTGCTCAAGACGACCGAGGGCTGGTTTAGGAGTCTCATCTCGGCCCTCCTGAACATACCAGATCCCGGGCTCGTAGGCGCCGCAGGGAGTGGCATTGGGGGCCTGGATGTGCTAGAAAGCCCGAGTCCGCTGACGTCTCTCGGTGTCGCAGTATCTGCAACGGCCATTGCGGCCATCCTACTTGCGCCCCTCGACCTGGTGCGCACCCGGCTGATCATCACGCCAATCTCGTCGTCACCACGATCCATCTACCCATGTCTCTCCCTGCTACCCTCTCTCTCCATCTCTCCTACTCTTCTGCCAGCAACCATTGTGCACGCGTGCGTGCCCACGCTCGTGTCATCGTCGACGCCCCTCTTCCTCCGGTCGACACTGAGCATCGACCCCGTCCTTACGCCGGCTACCTATTCCTTCAGCACCTTTCTCTCGTCGACAGCCGAGCTCTTCATCCGCCTTCCGCTGGAAACAGTGCTCCGCCGCGGGCAAGTAGCGGTGCTGCAAGAGTACGAAAGCCAGCGTGCGGCAGCAGAGTACCAGGCGCCAGTCAGTCGGTCCAAGAGCCCCGCATATGGTCTGGACAGGCCGGAACGGGCAAGCAACGACGGCGGGTTCAAGACGATTGTCGAGCCCGGGCAGTTCAGGGGTGTGCTGGGCACTCTGTGGTTCATTGTGCGCGAAGAAGGCATCACGGTGACGAGCCCCAATCCAGCCAAAGCAGCCAGTGCAAAGGCCATGGGCTTCTCAAGACCGCCGCGCACAAGAAAGGGCCAGGGTGTGCACGGGCTGTGGAGAGGGTGGAGAGTGGGTGTGTGGGGATTGGTGGGCATTTGGGGAGCTGCTGCTTTGGGTGGGGGTGGCGGTGAATTCTAGGACATGACGGCTCTGGCTCTTTGCTAGCGGTGACCTGGAGTCACTCTCTGTTTTTTTTGGTCTTTGTCGCCTTGTTCTCTGAGCGCCCCAATTATATTGGTGATGTCTGTTTTTGCCGCTGTTGTCATGATGATAGGCGTATGCACATATGCATGGTAGATAGACGAGTCGTGGCTGGCGTTGTGAAAGAAATGCATTTTTTAACGACGGATGGTCGGTGGAAGCAAGGGAGGCATGGACTTTGGTAGTGGTGGTGGTGGTGGCATGGCCCGGATGCGTGATGTGCCCTGGTACACGGTATGGGGCTTCCCCTGGCCAGATAGCCATGACAGCGCCGTCAGCCAACGAAACACGGGCGGTGGAATGTATGATGCTTATTTGCGGGCGTGCTGATCGGAACGTCAAGCATCCGGGGGATCTGCCGGGAAGGCTGCGTTCCTTTGGGGTAAGCTGAGATGGGGCATGCACACCATGTCAGCACAGCGACGCGGTCGGCGGCGGCGGTGGCAGCTAGTCGCGAGAAATTTGGCTGGCGGCGTGGCGGATTGGCGACGACAGAGCATGGCCTGGTGGCCGAGAATGCACCATGACGGCTGGCCATGGGCGTCGTGGCCCGTGCAAAGGCGCCGTGGGAGCTGGTCGTGTCTCATACATGTCAGCACCAAAGGCCCGCCGGCAGGGGAGAGACGCGGCCGCCAGCGGGGCTCGCAGTGCCAGTGCCTCGAGATGCAATAAAGGATGCCGGCTGTGCCTCGTTGCTGCGTGAACAGATGCCCGCCCGCTGATCCCAATCCATCATGGCCGGGGAACAAGTGGAGAGCCACGGCTCTGGCTCTGGCTATGCCCACACCTACGCCACCCTCCCCCACATCGCCCTCGCCATCCTCACCTACTGGATCGCCGCCACCGCCTACAGCCTGCTCACCGCGCCCGCCATCCCCATCAGCATACCATGGATGGGCTACGGCAAGGGATGGATCGCAGCCCTGCGCAACTACCTGGCCGTCAGCCAGAGCAAAGGATGGATGCTGGCCGGCTACGACAAGTACAGCCGCCGCGGCGACGCCTTCGTCCTGCCCCCCACCCTCGGCATGTACCCCGAGGTTGTCGTGCCGCGCAGCATCATGCAGTGGATGTTCGACCAGCCAGACAATGTCCTCAGCGTCAGTGCTGCCCACTACGACATCCTGCAGGGCAGCTACTGCTTCGTCAAGCCCATCATCCTCAAGGACCCCTACCACGAACACGTCGTCCACCGAAACCTCCTGCGCAACCTGAATTTCATCCTCCCAGAAATTGCACAGGAAGTCCCCAGTGCCGTCACCAACATCTACGGAACCGACACCGAGCAATGGAAAACCATCAACGTCATGGACTCGTTCATGGAGATGATTCCCGGCATCACCAACCGCATGCTGGTCGGCCCAGCTCTGTGCCACAAACGCAAGTACCTCGATGCCGTCACGGGCTTTACCACCGACGTCGTCCGCGGGCAAGCCTTCATGCTTATCGTCCCCAAGGCACTGCACCCCATTGTTGGCACCCTGATCAGCCTGCCGGGCAAATATCACTACTGGTTGTCATCTCGTTTCACCTTACCCGTAATCAAGCAGCGCATCTCAGACATCACCAAAAAAGACGCCGGCGACCCAGACTATAAGGACTGGACAGAGCCCAAGGACTTCTTCACTTGGATCTATCGCACCGCACAGGCCGAGGGCCGACACGATGAGATGCAGCCAGAACGCATTGCCAAGCGCATATTGCCACTCAACTTTGCAAGCATCCACACCACTTCGCTCACTGGCTATGAGGCCATAGTCGAAATACTGAATGCTGGACCAGACGTTGTTCGTCAACTGCGCGAAGAAGTATATCGCATCACGCAAGAAGAAGGCGGCTGCACCAGAGCGGGACTCACCCGCATGTACCGCCTTGACTCGGCCATTCGAGAATCACAGCGCTTGTCACCCATTGCCCTGACATTTAACCATCGCAAGGTCGTGGCAAAAGAGGGCATAGTCCTCCCAGACGGAACTCATATCAAACAAGGAACCATTATCTCATGTCCCTGGATGTCAATGGCTAGCGACACGGAAATTTACGACAAACCTGGCGAGTACGACCCATTTCGCTACTCGAGACCAAGGGAGGCCTACGAGGCCATGACTCCAGAGGAGAAAGCAAAGGTAAATTCACTAAAGCTGAAGCAGGGTGGTATGGTGACCACCAGTATCCAACATCTGGCTTTTGGTCATGGCAGACATGCCTGGTAAGTTTGCAGGAGGCTAGAACATGGCTGCTTGCGAGAGAAGGCTAACATTCCGCAGTCCTGGCCGCTTCTTCGTCTCGCATGAGCTCAAGATGATATTGTCCTATATGCTACTGAATTACGACTTCAAGCCATTGAGTGAGAAGCCGAAGAAAATATGGGTCATCCGACACCTGATTCCGCTTCCAGCAAAAATTGAAGTACGGCGTCGCAAGAGTCCATGGACACCTGCAGATGGCTGATGAGCGACACAAAGAGCATGTACATAGGTCTCTTTTTCTTTTTGCTCCGCTACGTCCGTGTAATGCAAGCACCTCATTGTGGATTCTTTTGCTCTCTGTCTCTAGTCGCCCATAGCAGTCAACCACACTGCTAGCTCAACCCCTAGCTGGCCAGGCTGATCATACATGATGAGATGCCCTGCACCATCTACCTCTACGACCTCTTTTGCCCCTAACGCTGCACCCAGCCTGTGCGCATCACTCACGGGAATCCAGCTATCTTGCTTCCCCCATATAATCTTAATATGCATCTCCCTCCCGACATCCGCATACCGCCCCTCGACCTCCCCCGTACTGCGATGGGCAGCCTGACAAAGCTGGCGGACAAACCCTGCCTTCCCGCCTTCCCGCATCCACGGCGCCTTGAGCATTTCCACGGTCCGCGAGTCAAGCGCCGTGTACGCCGCATGCCGAATATACGATTCCAACATGTCCTCAAATACCACATCAGGCATCTTCTCAAACGCACCCGCATTCTCAGCCACGCTCTGGAACAACGCGTGCCCAAACGGACCAATCGCCACAACGTCGATTAAACACAGACTGGCATACCGGCACTCATGCACTAGATGCGCGCGCAGACTCATCAGGCCCCCATGGTCATGCGCAACAACGTGTGGCCGTGTCGTCCAGTCCTCCGTCGCACCCCAGTGCTTGAACAGCGCGGCAAACGCCTCGCTTTGGCGCGCGAGATCGCCATCCAGACGCTCCGTCTCACTCTCCGGCTTGAACCCCGTCGTCCCCGACTCGAGTTTTTCGGCCGGCGACTGCCCGAACCCAGGGTTGTCGCAGAGGTACACGCGGTATTTGCGGGAGAGCGCACGTGCAAATGGGAGCCATACGTGTGAGGACCACGGCGTGCCGTGGATGAAAATCAAAGGCGTGTTGGATGCTGAGCCCAGCGCTGTCCATGCGATTGAGAAGCTGTGTGTTGGAGTGGAGTGGTGGAATCTTTTGTCCAGTGTAATAGGCATGGTGGGTGAAGTAGATTCCATTTTATTTTTCTGTGCCGGCTGGGTGTGCGTGCGTGGAAATGTATCAATGCGTTTTGATGGTGACCACGTCATCTTTATACTTCTTTTTTCCTCGCCTTTTTTATATCATGCTGCTTGCGTGTCTGTAGGACCAGAACTTGGTGCGGAGGTACGCCATGTGCTAAAAACGTGCTGTGGAAGTGGCTTATCACGCGCCAGAGATGCGGTGGGGAGTGCCCGATAAGAATGCGCGTGATACGTCAGTTTGAAAGCTAAGACATGGGAAGGGGGGTTTTTTTCGCTAGAAAAGTAACGTGGGTAGATAAAATTGTGTATTTGGATTAGAAATCCTGAATGTTGGTGTAGAACCATTCACGGAGGTTTTCCAGTGCTGTGGAAGTGGCTTATCACGCGCCAGAGATGTGGTGGGGAGTGCTCGATAAGAATGCCTGTGATACGTCAGTTTGAAAGCCAGAACATGGGGAGGCGTTTTTTTTTCTCGCTGGAGAAATGGCGTGGGCAGATGAAAGATGAGATTGTGTCATTGGATTGGAAAGTGTGGATATTGATGTAGAGCTATTTGCGGGTGTTTTCTAGCGCTACTGTGTGGTTACACTTTGCTGCTATACTAGGCTGACTCTTCATGACGGCCCTGTTATGCACTGAGAACTAGCAAGTATGCTTTCAGTCGCTGATCTAAAGCCAGTGATCGGCCTGAATATTGACAGGGTAGATTTCGCGTGCTGTTATATATTCATCTGGACGGACTTATCCCGTTGATTACAGCTTTGAGTATTGCATTCACTGCTCGACTGGACATTGTCAGATGAGACACTAGTGCAATGTGTTGTGTTCATTATTGAGGCATGTTTTTTTTATATCTGTGTTTGCACTTCGTTATGGTGATTTGTTACCGCATCGACTTAGCGCGACTAAACATGTTTATATTTAAATCATGTGGCAGGAGGACATCTGCACACTATACCCCTAGTTCTTATTGCTGTGCATACCCACACGCCGATAAAACTCGTTAGACCAGCCATTGCACATAGAATCATAAACCACAACACACAATCTCATCCTACTCCACAGATACCTCCCTCTTCCGTATGGCGACTGATCGCCTTGCCCCCATGAGACCTTCACCCTGCACAACTCTTGCCTCGAGTGCCTCCGCCACATCATCCAGCTCTTTACCCGTCCTGGCTCCCATCATGCCGGGTGCCGGGCTCCACTGCGTGTTCAGCAGAATAGCCAGCGCGTTGACCTTCCATACTCCAACAGCGTCCGGTCGACTTGTTCGAATGGTTTCGAACAGCAAAACAGCGGCAAGCAGTACGAGCACAGCCGGAAACAGCAGAAATTTCCAGCAAACGCGTAGTAGCGTAGTTTGCACATAGACAGTCCCGCTTACACGGTGCGACGGCGCAACATAGTCGACCGGAAGACGCGTGGCGTTATTCACATCGTCTTGTTGCGCCAGCAAAGTATCGTTGGCACGAAGCGCAACACTCATGTAGTGTGCGATTGTATGCATCGTGTCTGTTATATTGCGCCACCTGGGTTCGTTCTGCCGGCACCCCATAGACCGGCCTGTCGGGCGGTTGTCGCGTTGGCAGACGGCAAGATGAATCTAAGCGACCCGAGGACATTGTCGTAGTGCTGTCGGGGAATGGTGATATTGATTGGTTTTGGGTCGCAGTGGGACGGTAGCGCTGCATTCTGGCAGTCAGGATGGAATTCGTAGGTTAGATTCCATTCTTTTGCTGGCGTGAGATCCCCATAGGGCTGCAGGATGGTACTCGCGTTGAGAATGTGTTCTTCGTAGACGCCGTTTTGGACACGGACACTCAGCGTTTGCATGTTGATGTAGAAGAGGCAGTAACCTGCTTCTATCGTGCTCTCTGACGAGACTATTGATGCCCTCGCTTGCTCGGCTGGAAAAACTAGCAGGTTGCGGGCTAGTTTTCATTTGAATTTCGCAAAGCCGGCATGGATGGATGTCCAGTTGTGGCGCCATTCCTCGGGGAATCCATTAGCGAGGGTGTAGTTTGATCCGAAATGCTCATCAGGTGACCACCGCTGATACGAGGTATCGCTGGAGAATACCAGGGTTGGTGATGCCAGTTCGAGCGGCGGAGGCGGGTACTCCGTGGGCAATGCCGAGACTCCAGTATGGATGTTTGCTATGGTACAAGGTCGAAACGGATGCTCAGGCCATATGTCTGATACCGCCTCTGAATAATTGAGAGAGTAGTCTGCTGAGTTGTCGCAACACTGTACGGTCACGCCAAGGTTTGGGAAGGGATCCCAAGTGCAGTTGCCAGTCGTACATGAGTATGGCGGGTAAGGAAGACTAGTCATACCAGACGAGTATAGCCCACTGTAAAATGTAGACCGCAGTTTGAAGGATACATCTCTGCCTGTCTGAATTAGTGTTTATTCTCATTGACAACAAAGGGATGTACAAGAGTAACCTACCATAATCTGCATAATTACCTCCAACGTACCCAACGCTTCCTGAATACGTCGAGGCTGCTGATGCGAAAGCTACCAATGACTTGGCATATGCGGAAAGATATGGAAGATTTGTATTGTAAAAATTGACGCTTTGTTGAAAGAATGAACCTATGACGATGCTAATTATGACGAGGATGGCAGCAATGAGCTCCTTAGGATTACTGTTCAAAGTTTCAGCCAGACTTTATGCCGATCCGACAGGAAGAGAACAAGTACAGGGACTCTTGAGAGGAGCATATGGACACGTGAGGGATTGGTAGTATCTTGCAAGTGTCTCAACTCTAGTAGCAGTTGCAAGCTTCCAAGTGGTCCTCTATTGGCCGTGTCAAATTTGACGATATCTCGTAGCGGTTTGTAGCCTTTCTGTAGCGAGACCCAGGTCAACTGGCACATACAACTAGTCACAGGTACCATCAGAGACATCCTGAAGAAAGTCGCAGCGAACGCGATAGCAGCGTTCAGTGTCACGGCCCCAATGACTGGACTGGGTTTCCCATTGTATATGACCAACACGGTGACGATGGCGATAAAAATAAGCACTGAAAATACGATCGAGACCACTTCCCACATCCACATGCTTGGATGTAGGAAGAACGGTTTGCGTTCTGCGCTATGGAGCAGATATCGATTGTTATCGGCGTCCGTCGCCTCCAAAAGGTCCTTGGTCGACTCGTGGCTAGAGTGTTTGGGATGAGAGGGGGTTTGTTCGAGTTGCATAGAATTCCATGATGCGTCGCGCTGTCTAGAGACGGGATCAGCCCCGAATTCAATCCCACCCCACCTTTGAACATACTGTGTGACTGGCATGGCTGTAGTTATCGGTGTACAAGCTATGCGGGGTGGAAATCGAGAAGAACGAAGATTTTACAGTCCAAAAACCCCCGCTATTAAGATGATTCGGCTCACAAGGCTGGGCTGGTCGCCTTACAACGCCTCTTTAGAAGCCTACCTTATCTATGCGAGTATAGAGGTTGGTATCGCGATGTGCATGGTGGCGTATTATGCCGGTGCGTGTTCAGCATCACTGCCTCGCATCTTACCTAAGAGTAAAACAGATCGCCATATCTGCTAGCTATTGTGATAAAATCGATGAATTGGATTGAAAAATCTCTACTGAGTGTTGTTGTGCGATCGACAACCAAGAACTGAAAGCGTGCGTTTGTATCGGGTTATCACGTGATTTATCTGTCACGTGCGCCTCTGACAGACTCTTCTCCGAGTGTCCCGTCTCATCAAATAACTGAAAATTCGAATGCTCTATAAGCCTTTTCTGGAAAAATGACTGCAATGGTTATCTTCATGACGAAAAGGAGAACAGTAGCGAAGTCTTCATTTGTGATTGTGCAGGAGCTGTAAGGCTCAGGTCGGCCGCTATTGATGACTAGTGCGAAACCTTTGGTTCGTATCACAGCCAAACTCTCAAAACAAGCCAGGAGCTTGGTCAGCCGTACTTGACTCAAGACAAATTTCTGCTTGCTGGAGATGCGTGCATTTGAACATAGGTGAGCTTAATGAAACAAAGAACCCAGACAGCCAAAGCATTATCGATTCCGCTTAAATCCTGGACAATACATTTACTTTGACCCAAATCGAGGTCTATATCTCTTCCTAATAATGCCTCTATAAATTTGGCAAGCTCCTACCTTTTGTCGTTTCACAAATGAGTGAAACACAGAATGAAGTACCCATATCCATTGCTCGGCGTTATCTGTTGGACAACATATACCTCAAACAAGCCAAGAGATGCTAGCTTTAAGTCTTTTCGTTATAGGGCACGCTACTCTCAATAATAGTTTCAGGGTGTCGTAACTCGCAAAAGTCAGAGCTACTTTTGACCTCGGATAAGTTTCGGCCATATTGGACGGCGATGATGACCTAGGCAACGCGGTCGCACTGTAAGAAGCTGACATTGAGGGATTATAATCTGCTAAGCAAGATCACTTATTATCTTCTCTAGATGTGCAAGTCAAACTTGTACACTTGTATGGAAGAGACAAGAAGTTTATCCAAGCAAGAGACCTTATTGAAAGCTCTTTTTACGACTATTATACTATGGAGAAGAGGAATCTGTCTAGGGTTGTAAGCGCGCTTGGTCAGAGTACATGTTAACACTAACTGTCCGGACGAAAACCACAACCTGTTGCGGCATAATGCACAGGCTAGAAGGACAGTAATAGGTAGTGGAGACAAGTGTCATACCACCTCCACAAAAGAAAATCGAAAAGTACTAGCCCAAATACAGTGAGACATTGTTTGATTACTCTGGTGTACATCACGATCGTGATCCGGATCTCCGGTCGCTAGACTAAGTATGTCCATGTCCTCCGCCAACGCGCCATACCCCGTCAGGTAAGGCCATAACACCACCAGGGCAATATGTGTGGGGATGTGACAAGATTCGCCGAAATACGCGACGAGTTAGTGTCAGATTTGGTATTCTTCGCAATCTTACACTGAATCGGCAATGGGGGACTCGTAAAGCCCATGCTTGGCTCTGAAAACGATCACGAGAGCGAAGAGGGGATTGCTAGACTGGTGTATTTTCTTGGAGGATACTAAAAGCTCTTCATCCTTGCGCATCCTCAAGCTTCCCGAGTCATGAGTGTGTTTATTAATCAAAGGGCTGAGAAGAAAACAATTCCCGGCTCCGAAGCGGCAATAGGGAGCTGACGTAGTAGTGCTGACAATGGAAATCAGACTCAAAACGTCGCGGGCTACCTGCCATGACGATGAGTTCTCTTCAACAGACAAGGAAAACAGCTTAAATGATTTATAGGTTTCAAAGATGAATGAGGAAGCGAGTATGCTGCGCTTGAGTGATGAGGCGTCAAGCCTCCCAGCTACTCATTCAGACTTGCTTTGGCTTGATGAAGATGACTACGGCATTGATTCTTTGATAACTATATTAGAGCTAGTCAAGAAGTTGAAGATAACGATAAGCAAAGTTTGATTATATAGACAACGTCGGATGATGTCACTGGCTTAAGATACTAGTCTCTCGCTACCTGCAAGATCATAGTTTATTCAAACATCCACTCAGCTTCTATATATGTATTTTTCTTGACAAACTGTAACACTATGTGTTACTAGACCTCACAGCGCATATATCGATACAGCCGGTATGTTATGTCAGTGAGGGGATATTATGGTACAAGGTCAGGGAACAAACTTCAACTCGCAATCACTAGGCAGATATGCTCTCGAAAGAGACTTGACAACAAACCACATTCTTTCCAGATCTAATACAATTGAATTGCTATATACATGCTAATCATTCCAATGACCGCTTGGCCCGAAGATAGTCACATAATCCATCCCACACCATACCATTTATTCTACATTATCCTACGCCTGAGCATCATTCACAGTGTGGGCCCACGACGATCATGATTCGTAGCACACCTCGCTATAACTTGATTCCAAACTAACTTTGCTAGGTTTGCCAGATACACGCTGTACCTGGTGCTTGACAAGTAAAACTATTGCCTCCACATTGGATAGCTGTATATAATGAGTATTATGCTTCTATACACTCACCCGGTGGCACAATAACATACCGTGACAGTAGCCGCTGCAGCATTGCCCATTGCCTCCTGGAAGGGTGCAGGATACTGTGTTGTTCAGTAGATGAATCATATCAAGATAGGTAAATACTAACTGCCATTGTTGGTACATTGGCGCTCTTGCAGTTCAACTGGGATAGCAACGGCCGTGGTAACGCTGATGATAGCGGCCAGAATAAATGCGATAGACTTCATGATGTCAGTTGGACTTTGTGGTGTCTGTTTGTAAGGGTAGCTGGAGATATTGAGATGAAGAGTTGGATGATGGTCCTGGAGTGCAGCAAAGAGGTCAGTACTTATACTTCAGGCACTCAAGCCTGACTCTCTGAGATATGCATGATTCTCCATGTGTTATAGCATCTGTCACAATTCGTCCGGCCAGCTTCGTTAGCATGATCATGGCGAGCAGGGAAGGGCCAGAATCTCGAAGCTATTGAAAGCCACAGGTAAGCACTATGCTACATCCACTTCATCTTTGACTTATGCGGAAAGGGTAAATAAAATGTGGTAACATGATACACTCTGCGTAGGAGAATAGAATAAGACTAGACCGTACGCTGTGCGTACAGGGGAATAAATTGTGGCTAGACTGTAAGGACACCATGCGGACCACGGCGATTGGCGGAAATGATCAATTTAATTCTTATCACCAGCCACAACTCGCCGTAACCGAGCTGTAGCTACGAAACTTGAGCCAGGTCATACCCTTATTCGTCAGTGTCATGTCCTGATATGACTTAGTCTTGGCATACCCATGCCATGGGAATGCATGCTACCCGCGCGCAGTCTAGAACATGTGCGTGCGCGATCTCCGTATACAACACGTGGTACTAGCGCTATAGCACTGCAAATCGCAGCTTAGTCATATGGTATACTGAATTGGCATTCGGGTGAGAGAGACCACGCACGTGATTCACTATAGTACTGCTCGTCAGGAAACTTTCACTTGGCTACTTCTCTTGCCGTCACAGAAATCTCGTCGTATCGGCATGTCCGGAGTTCCAGCAAGTTCCAAGCAAAGCGGACGTACTATCCGCCCAGTGAACCTAAAACGTCGTTGCCACGTGCGCCCCGGGGAGTTATATACGGGCCGTGCGCATCCCAAAGACCGCCCGCTTAAAGTTTCCTTCTCGATAACACGGCATAGGCGATATTTGCACAGAGCCATGCTTCTCTTTCAGGCTAAGAATAGGACGTCGCTAAGCGCCTCCGTGGCAGCCAGGTTGTCGGCTACTGCTGCTTGAGCTTCTTCTTGACACCCATCTCTACAGGCAACACTGTCGCGTTGAACGCAGCCATGGTAAGGCCATATGGCGCCCGAATGCGTGGTTCCCAGTTCTCTGCAAACTTTTCTTCAGTAAGCATGAGCTTCAAATCGTCAACACGGCCACCAAAGATTGTGAGCATGGTCGATGAGCTGGGAGTATGGTCAGCATTGCGCGATTTCGGCATCGAGTTGCCCTTACTTGGCGCTTCCAAACATGTTGTGGAATAAACTTTCCGAGTACTGAGGGTTTTGCGCCTTGGCCTCGCTTCTTCTCTTAGCGAGCTGCTTACTGAGGTCTTCTTTGGTCAGTACCGGACCACCGTGCTCTCCCTTTCCTGTCGCCATGCTTAGCAACTCTTCCACAAGGGGCAAATCGGGCTTTCCCTGGTCAGGCACCTGCGCAGCATCCTGCCTGGTCAAGCTTGCATCGTGCTCGATAGCGTTGTGCTTGCTCAGTTCTGCGAGATCAAACTTGTCGTTCCAGTAAGAGCGGCCCAGGAAGTCGGCGGAAAACTTGGGCACGAAAAAACAAAACGAAGGTGCAAAATTGAAAGTCTGTCGAACAGTCGTGTTCAGGTCGCGAAACGTGATGTTCTTGCCATCGTGTGGAAGAATGCCGTGGTTTGCCCTAGCGCCAGTTAGATTGCGGTTGGAGCCAAGGATATCGAGGCATACATGGCGTTTAGCATCGGACATGCCGACCTGGAGTCACCTTCGCGTGGTGGTACATATTCTGGCCATTTCCCTGCATGTCCCGGTAGTCCTTCCGCAATGACTTTGTTTGGCGGGTGAGCCGGAAGGACGAGGTTCGCTAGAAAGAGCCCGAAATCCCACGTCATGACGGATATGTCGATGAACGGTTTGGTCAGCTTTTGTTTCAAGCCCATTTTGACCTCGTAGATGCAAGTTGCGCACGTATATTGCTATCGGTAAGATGAGGGCTTTGTCGATGGGTATTTAAGAATTATGCAATGGTTAAAAAAACACCAAGCTACATTCACAGAACAGATTATCGCCTTGTTAGTATAATGAAAAGGGAAAAAATCTTGGAAATTCTTCGCCACTCACTAACTACATGCTACTGTTATAGCGCCTCTCGTTTATCTCTGCTATTTGCCGGCTCCCCAGGAATGTCCGCGATACCCCACACTGAGCTACGTAAGAGCGTACTGACCGCCCAAGCCCCCTGTCATGGTGTAAGAACTGAAGGGTCTGATAGGCCTCTACTATGTAAGTGCCAATGCTCGGATATGCAGTGGCAAACCATCAGGTTACACAGAGCTATTGCTTTTGATATCCTCTAACGGAACTGATCGGCATAGTTCTTATCCTATTATGCGCTTGCACTAGCCTATGGATTTCGAAATCTGGAAAAGGAAATACAAAGGTACCTCGTGGCTCTAGGACTGCGCGCTTGATTTGTTGCAAAAGTTCAAAAGAAAGCGCCCGCTTTGATTGTGTTATACAGTGAGCGCAGTTCTCTGATAAGACATGAATGACCTTGACCACTTCTAGGATTTTCAATCTGATCAGATCACCTTAACCACAGCTGCAGGCTACTACAACAATTTGACGTCATAGTTAGAGAATACGGCTGGGCTGACACAACCACAACTGTATCCCCTCACCCCCGCACGTTTGGTGAACCTGATTTGCAGAACATTTTTGGAGGGGCGCAGTTAAGACGTACGACGTAACAGGCCCAATCTCTTTTAGAAACACAGGGGAGAAACTCCCGACACGCACACCAATAGCGTAGGTTTAAAGCTCTTGAACTCTATCTACACCTAATGCGCGCTCTTGTTACTAAGTTGCTGTCAATCAACTCTAGCGTGGTGTAATTGGTGAATTAATGCGAAGGAAATGGCTGTAAGATAAGTTCGATTGCAATAGCCTGATGTGGATATGAAGATTGAAACGTAAGGGTTATTGTCGCAGAATAGGTACTATCTAGCTGTAAAATCTAGAGAGTTGCCACTTTTTTTACTCTGCGATGGTTATAGTGTCACTAGAACTTCTCGCGTCCACTCTTTCTTCATGCTTTTAGATTAAAATTCCTATTTTGAGAAATTTTCAGTGTCTGATAGTGTCGCGTGAATATAAATAGTGTAGATTTGTCTCGCTACACTAAGTTTATAGCATAGTACATAGCATGAATTCAATAGTTCAACTAAAAAAGAAGTAGAGATAGTAACTGTCTCTGTTCCTAACATAGGTTAAAATAACTAACCTCATATTAATTAGAGATCTATTAGCCTCAAGTTTGTATATTAAGGTGACTAATTAGGACAGTGTACATCCAGGGCTCAGTTAGCTGTTCTAAAGCAGTGACCTGACTGGAGCTTGGGAAATATTCCTGGATAATTTTGAGTATTATCTATGCTAAACACTCCGATTTATTACGCAAAAAGAGAACCATGCGCATCGTGTAATCGTCGTCAATATTTTAGACTTGTTTGGACGAATACACGTTTTCAATAGCTTCCACTCTTCTGCTAGCAAACATGAAGATAAACATCCATACTATATTTTTCCGTTGATTTTTTCTCCATATCTTGAAATCGCGTTTGGTTAAGAAGTAATATTCCGACCCCTTAAATTACCCTGATCACGATGTCACAAAATCCACGAGATTAGCCTGTTCTTTGAGCTTCTTGCCTTTTGCACGTATCGGCGTATAGAGAATGTTCAGGTAAGCGCTGAAGTGCTACTGGCTGAAGCGTATGAACACACTGGACATGAAGTGGCAGAGTTGATGTAAACTTGTTAACGTCCAAGTGGCACCTGACGCACGTGCGTACGCAGCTGCACAGATTCAGAACAAAACTAGCTGTTCGAGGCATTTCTAATTTGCCATAGCGAAGCTATTGAAAGCCAGCATGTAAAATGCTTTCCTGAAACGAGCGGGAACTGCATATTCGATATACGCCGGACGATTACTGTTGTTTAGCAGCTGCTGTCCTACCAAACCCCCTGTACATTTTGACTGTTCTCTTCTCTCATAGGGTTCTTTTCGCATTATTATTCATGTGCTGTCATTTATATTAGAACTTTGCTTGTACGAGATGTTTATTTGTTTCGGTGTATAGTTATACAGCTGGAGAATTCTATTCACATAATTCACTTGTGGTAGCTAGGTCGTGTAGACATGAACTTCGAAGGCGTAATGGCAAAGCCAAGTGGCGGAAGCACTAGTGCGCGTATACGACTCTTGCGCCACGTTACAGAAAAATAATACTTTTGTTATAGGCAGATACACGCTGAGCCCTTTTAGGTAGCTGGATGCGGATACTAGCGTTGGCTTGGCCATATCTCCTTGTCCCATTGGGCCAACAGCGTTGAATGTGGCGGTGCAACAAGTGTCTAGGATTAGGGTTGGGTAACTGGCAGCCACAGGGTCTTGCCTAGTTGGCATCGCCCACTCGACCACGTAGGGTTTAGTGCCGGGTTTGCAACCTCTCTATGGTATGTACTCGCAGGAATGTATAGGATAGCGTAGAAACCATTTACGACTTTATATTCTCATAGAAAATTGTCAAATACTATAATTTCACCATGTTTTCCAACACTACGAGTCCACCATCTGCATTCGTGCCTCTTGTTCTCACTCGTTCTCACTTTTTCTCGTTTATTCTCAGTTGTTTTTGTCCAATCGAACTCATTCACTCACGCTATTACGAACCAAACGTCTTATTCTCCCAGGATGCCTCCAGCTGTCAAAGGTCTACCATTTACCAGTTTAACTAGCTCGGCTTTAGGCGTTACTTGTCTCCGTGCCGCTTCTCTGCCTGTCGCTGACACCGTGTTTGTAAATGGAGTGATCCATACCATGGACAAACAATCCACTACTTTTACTGCAGGATCTTTGACTATTACAAATGGTACAATCACATGTGTTGTTCAAGAGTCGGACTGCAAGGCTGTTGTTGGAAGCATTACCAAGGTGGTGGACTTTAATGGCAAAGCGATGATTCCCGGTCTGGTCGATGCCTCTTGATGCCGGACGAGCAATGCTTGGATGTACGCTACGTTACAAACAACTCACACAAGATGCTCTTCACCAGACCATCCAGGCCTGTCTTGATTCGCAGCCTAGGCAGACTGGTTCTTTGACTGTCACTGATTTTGATCGCGAAGGATTCACTACTATCAACGGGCCGGGAAATAAAGCTATGCTCGACAAACTCAACACTACTCGACCGATTGCTATTATCGCTTCTGATCAGCACAACATCTTCGTCAACTCCAGGGCTCTCCAAATCATCAACATTACACGCAGCACGCCCAACCCTCCCGGAGGCGGAATCGAGCGCAACTCAAACGGTGATCTAACCGGCTTTCTCGAGGAAAATGCCGTTGTTCCAATCCGAGCTCTCATGGGTGACCGTGGCATTGCCCAGCTGGATGCTGCAACTGTGGTACTATCTTAGCTCCGTCAAAAGGGCATCACTAGTTTCTTGGACGCGTCTCAGACCCCGCACACAGCCTGGTCTAGTCTCAAGTCGACTAACGAACTGACCGCTCGGGTTTTCAACAACTTTGGGGTTTTCGGAAACACTGATTTTCCGGCAATCGTTTCCCAGGCGCTGGCAAGCAAGAAGCAACTGGATGAAGGCGATCTGGTGGCCACTCCGGGCCAACAGTGGCGTAACATCAAATTCTTCATTGATGGTATTCTGCCCTCCGTCTCCGAGTCTAGCTGGCTCCTCAATCCCTACCTAATCAAAGACTCCCACGGCAAATGGGTTCCAGGCAACAACGTTGGGCTTCCCAACGCAAACGAGACACAGCTCCAGAAGCTCCTCACACTTACTCTGAACGCGCGCATGGGTCTTCACGTTCACGCCAGCGGTGACCGGGCTGTCCGAACCATGCTTGACATTGCCACCTCGATGAACAGAACCTTCGCGCCTTCAGACATTGGCATCGCTCATGCTGAGCTTGTCACTGCAGAGGACAGAGCACGCTTTGCAGAGCTCGGCATACCCGTCATTGCATCCTACCAATGGGCGCAGAAAGCAACCTACTGGGCCGGAGACAATACACTGACTCTTGGAGCTGACCGTATGAACGTTGCTCAATCATCCGGTCTTCTCAACAACGCCGGAGCCCTTGTCGCATACGGTTCCGACTGGCCCGTTGACCCGCTTGACTCCTTCCTCGCCCTCGCCATCGGTGTGACTCGCGCAGGTGACCCCCAGAACAAGAACTCCCACGCTAGCTTTGGTCCTCAATTTGTCGGTCGTCTTGACGAGCAGCCTGCTCTTTCACGTGAGGCAGCACTCCGAGGAATGACTACCGTGGCAGCCACATATCTCAACAGTTCATCCAGCATTGGTTCGCTCGAGCAAGGCAAATTTGCCGCCCTTCTCATTCTCGACAAAGACTGTTTTGACAAGGCTGCTGTGACAGATGAAAATCTCTCCAAGAACAAGGTCCTCATGACTATGGTTGGTGGTCGTGCTGTTTTCACTGATGACTCTGCGACTTTCCTTCCCACCGAGTGGCAGGCCGAGTCCAAAAAGCTAGATATTAACCCTGTCATTCAGCGCATGAAGCCTAGCAACATTCTTAGTCGCGCTACCACCGGTCGTGCTTGCGGTTCTCATGCGGGACACTCGCACTAGAAACTTTCTTCCCTGGCTACAGATTCGTGCAGCTGGTTTCTCAAGTCATCTATGGATTTTCTTTCTTCTTTTTTTTCTGCGCTAGCATTTGTTTCAAGTCCAGCGGCCATCTGAATTTAACGGTCTTAGCCTTAATCATTACGCAATGTATAGTTTTGCATATCGCTAGAGAGACTCTTTACAAATTTATCTCGCCAATATATGAACCCTTTCTATAAAATGCCCTCCATGTGCACATATCCTACCTACCATCACCATATATATTACTTGGAACTAACATCAATTTTTCATCGGTACTCTGTTGTCGTATTGTTAAGATCATAAGTACGAGATTAAGGAACGACATTTATACTGTGTCAGCTACCTACCACGCTGACCAAGCATAGCTGGAGAGAGAACGCTACTGAAACTTAGGACACCAGAAACATGTTGATATGAATTGGTAATTAGGTCTCGTATTCTCTGTTACGTATAGGCACGAAGTGAAAACACGGATGAGCGCAGGATTAGTTCGTCTGCAAGTTCCGAGAGCTTGCGATTCCTAATTCACCAGAAAATGACCCCTTCACTGAGCACCTAAACATATAGGCTAGTATGTTCCATCTACTTGTGAACCTGGCGGGTAATGGGAGCCCGTTTAAATTTTTCCATGTATTTTTTTTTCAGAGGTGATACCCAGTTTCGATGCGCGTGAAAAGGTTGAATTAAAGACATGAAGGCTGTTATTGAAAACGAATGTTAGATCTGAGAAGAACGGTGTATAAAGGGAGAAAACACACATATTTACGTTCACAGGGGTCACAATGATAAGTGTAGCAAGTCAGTGTTACACATTTGCCATTCACTAGGCAAGGCCCTGACGTTCCTGCCGCCGGGTCTGCGTCTCGAACTCGATTTGGCTTGTCCCTAGTCGTCCTAGATGGAGTTGCAATCCCGAGGCCGATAAAAACGGTGGAGATGAGGGCTGAGAGGCGCATATTGTAGTGCCAACGCTTGAAAAGGGTCTACAAAGGAAGCGTACACGGTCTATATGTTGTGCGATTACGGAGGTGCCTTTCTAAAGTATTGTCTGACGCTAATCTCGGCGCTTCGGCACAACTCTTCTTGGCGCAACTCCCACCTTAGAGTTAAGGGGCTGTCTAATTAGTCTGCCTACTACTATATAGTTATCCTTTGACTATAGCTCCTTATACTAATATATATACTCGTACCTTAGTAATCGCGTTAAAATTACCTCCTATTAGCAAGAATACCTTATAAGTCTCTACGCTAACTAGCGTTTATCCTTATATTATAGATTATATCTATAGTAGAGCTATTGCTATAGGCTTTAAGCTAAACGACCTTCCTATTAAGATCTTTCTACACTACGTTTAAGATGCTCCAAAGCCTAGTAGGCCTGCTAAGCAGGCAGAGGTAAAGGAGTAGATATTGCAATAAGTACAACACGATAGATATAGACGAGAGAAGAGCTATGCTAACCTTGCTAGTAGGCTTAGTCTCTAAAGAGTCAAAATCTCTGCCTCTACTATCTAGAGGGTGTTAAGAGCAGCAGGATATAGGAAGACTAAGCTAACAAGGAAGCCTAGGTTAACACAGGAGATAAGGAGTGTAATGGGCGGGCCCAACGGGCCGAGCGTACGACTACTTACGCCATCCATAGCCAAAAAGGCAGTAACAAGACTTCAAGCTTCTTGAAGTCCAGGTAGTCGTATAGATATACTCGATCACACACACTTTAGGCGTAGCCTCTTACAAGGAGTGCTTGTCTTAAGTAGGCATTAGAGCATAAGAACTAGACGTTAGAGGACTAGAAGAATGTCATCTAGACAGACAAGACGTTAGTAGTAATTAACCACTAACGTAGAGGCTATAGAGTCTAAAAAAAGGCAAACAAAAGGGTAGTTAAGAGCTGCATCTATAAGAGGTAAAAAGAATACTTTAAGTTTATGTTCTAGGGCTACTTCTCGTATAACAAAAAAGGTCTATACTATATCTACTAGCTAGAGACAAAGGTAGAGAGAGAGGATACTGCTCGTTAGATTAAGCAGCTAAACGCTAAGCTTAAGCCTCTATAGCAAGAGGAATAGGAGCTGTTAAAGTCTATAAGAAGAACAAGGCTACGCAATAAGCGTAGCAGGAAGCCTTAATAGAGATAGATAGAGAAGACAGGTAAGCTAGTGCGTAAGTCTAGAGGTGGTATAGACTAGTAGAGATATTAGGCCTACGTTCTAATTCTAAAGCTAATTCCTTTTGCTAAAGAGTGCCTCTAAGATAGACCTTAGACTATCGTAATAGAGGATAAGGCACCTAGCCACGCCTACCACTATTAGGGTGTGATCTATCGCCTATACGACGTTAAGAGACTACTTTAGTGTAGAAACTTGCTAGACTATAACTACATTAAGCTATGCTAGTTCTATATAAAAAGAAAGACTACAAAGAAAGGAGCTCTACAGTCAAAGGCTAAGGCAGTTAGAGTCTAGCAGAACTACTAGAGAGATCTCTTACAACTTAAGATCTAAGCTTAGATTAAGCAAATTCTTATATATATTTAAAAGATAATTAAGCTACAAGGTGGTAATAAGTACATAGAGGGGAGAGACAAGCCTCGGCTAAGGCGGCCGCACTTCGGTTAGATTATTCTTGGCAGACAATACTTTTGAAAGGCACCTCCGTACTATGGAAAGGTCGGAACCTTTGAAGCTATATATGCATGGCTCTTAGCTATGTTTAGCATGCTTATTGCAGTGTAACCAATAGGCCCATCTTCGGATGGTTACGTATCCTCTGAGAGTCGGTGAGACTCTGTTTGTACCGTCATACAGGCCCAAGGTTTATGAACTGTAGGCTCATTATTCTGTAGACTATTGTCACATAAGCTATCTCCGTACGCTACTGTTTACATTTAGTCAATGATTGTTAGCGTGAGAGATTAAGCTAGTCTTCGAGTTATAGGACTTGGGCTGTATAATTGTACAGGATGGTGTCTAAAAAGATAACTGACCTTGGCTGACCATAAGAAAGGGCCGCCTGACTATAGCACCAAACCACAGTAAGCCATTGCCGTAACCTACTTCGTTTAGTGCTTACATGTAGTATCAGGTCATAGAGCTGGGTCTACTATGGTTTGTCTCTGGACGTTATTGTCGGCCACGTATGTATCTTGTGCGTTGGCTTGCCGCACAATTCCGAACCGTATCTTTCCATCGAAATCGGCCTGCACTCCAATCAACAGATTATCAGGCACGTGTTTATTCTCGAGGACTTGAACTTGGGCTGACGCAGGGAAAACACGAACCCCTGGAGAAGCGGGCCAGCAGCTCGTGCGCGTCATACCGGATTGAGACCGATCGATAAGGCCGAGCTATGACGTCATACTTACTTTGCAACCTTATCTTGGAGCCGCGGCGGCTGGAAACATTCACATGAACAGCATCGTCTTACAGTAATAATCATGAAGCTACTCTACCCATGTCCGATCCTCATACCTCCGCATCACCCACTCTAGCAGCCACGCCGGTGCAGCAGCGGCTTAGTTAGGCCCTGGGCCATCCCAGACGCTGGCTGCACCAAAGCCAAGTTCCAAGTGCCCGCGAGCCAAGTTTTGGACCATGAGTGATGACACTGGCGGCTTTCTATCTCGTTGTAGCCCTGAAAGCGGCTTAGCCCCAGGCTTCTTGATACGACAAGGCTGTAGTAGCATACACACTATGATGCCATAACATACGCCTCCCCTTCCGGATACGGCAGCTTCCAGGAGCTGGGAAGCAATGTCTGGAGGGGTACGAGAGGGCATTTCGTAGATATATAGTCGCTATGACGACCCGGCTACGTTCTGGCAATCCTCACACCTTCTTTGCACCGCAATAGCATCTCCAATCAAATACAAAAGTTTCACGTTACCTTGTCGCACGCGTCAGCACTACTACCCCAACACCACCATGAACTCAAACACCAACAACACTGCCGCGGGTCAGAAGGAAGACTACCTTGACAAGGGTATTTGCTAGCCCGCTCGTTCGTTCGCATGAAAGTTAATTGCAAGTAGGTCTCGACGCCGCCGAAAAGAAGTACGGTGGCTCCATGGGCCAGGACACACAGAAGAACCGTGCCATCAACGAGAAAATCGTACGTTCGCTCCTTTCCCGCTGTACCTGCATAGACGCCGAAACAACCCGCTCACGAAACAAATAGACAGATGGAGCCCGCAACATGTTCGAAAAAGCAACGGGCAAGCACGTTCCCGAGAAGATCTCCAACTAGGGGATCCTCCTCACCCTCCCCGGAAGTCCCCACCCGCCTCTCCCTCGACGTCGATGAATCCACAAATCCTCCTTCAACATGCTACGAAGCTGCCCATCCAGCCCCAGTCTCCCCCACCACCTCATCACCTGCATCCCCGGGATCACACCACCACCGGCACTCCTTCCCCTTTGTACATATGCACCACGACCACAACCACGACAGCAACAATACCAACGATAATAAGAAAAAACACAAGAACCGGGCGTCGATTGACTCGGCCCATTCAGCGGTTTCCCGCGACTCTCACGCGACTACGAGCGAGCATCATGATAACGAGGGAGATGAAGAGGACAAGCTGCATGGACTCTGGCACAAGATTGAGGCGGGCATGGAAAAGGCAAGACCGTATATGGAGAGGCTGAGTGGGACGTATGAGCCGTTGCCGATTAAACAGACTGAACATCATCCCGAGTAATGAATAGCAATGTTAAACTTATCCTTGCAGCTCTAACTGTAGATTATGATTAAGTTTGATCACGTGTTCTCCATACGGTGTAAATATTTTGAAGATGCACAAGGTAGTCTGGCTTTCGTAACCTACTACCACTGACGCCTATCGCCACTGCCAAGGCGGAGGCTGCCCGAGTATATATACTTGTGGACTTGGCGGGTGATATGAGACGTATTCAAATTTGTCGATGTATTTTCATTTAAAAGGGATACCGATTTCGATTCGCGTAAAAAGATGGAATTATGCGCTGTGGGAGGTTTTGAGTAGGAAGGTTGAATACAATGCATACCATACATACACACATACATACATACATAGACCCAGAGGGAATCGCTCGCCCATATAGATACCTGGAAACGGTCACAGCAACATACACTCACAACGCTTCAAGTTACAACTGGCACATTCGACATGCTTTCGACAAGGCCAAGCCCTGCAGGGCCTTTTTCGATTCTTTCTTTAAAGCTGCAATCGCCCATCGCCAAGGGACACACTACTTTTCGAGACGTCTCGATTGTGGAAGCCCATGCTTGAACAAAATATTTATCATAGCTGTACAAGATTGCCTTGAAAAATCCCCAGTTTCCTACATCTGTCCTGCCATTGCAGGGCTGCCGTGGCGTTGGTCCAGGTGGTCGTAGTTGAGCTCAAACTCTCGCTGTGCCATGTGTCAGATGTTGGATCCAAGACTGTTTTGTATAGAGTTAATGCACATACCCTTTCTCTTCTCCAGTTGTTGACATCGAAGAAGAGATACCAACCCCGCTCCTCCTTTGGTGAAAGTCGAATAGGCGCTGGGAGATCTGGGTCTTTCATCATCCACTGCTGGAGCTTGATATGCCACCTCCAGTCGCGGTTGTACAGTTCTTGTGCAGCAATCTCTTGCAGAATGTCCCTCGGATATTGGTAGAATATTGCGAGAAGAGTCTCTGCCGAGAAGCTGGTCATCTTTGTATGAAGTGGCGGTACATTGGTCACGGTGTATGCTGCCGGTAGTGTAAAATCCGGTGGTATTACTGGCTTGACGTTGGATTCCACAAATGGTGAGCCAAAAGTGGGATGTAATGGTGAGTTACTAACAGCACGATTAGCAGTGTTACCAACGTACAGAGAGTGGCTTACTCAGGCCGGCTGAGGTCCAAGCCTAGAACGGTTAGATCTTGGCCCATGGCTAAGGTGGAATAGTCGGGGCTCTCCATTGGAATCATAGAAAGCAGTCCAGGCAAGCCGTATCGTTCCGAGTCGGTCATCTCTGACAGCTTCTTGTGTGGCATACTCTGCGCATTTGGCGAACCGAGGCCCTCTGTTCCAAATGTCTGCTCGAACTGGTTTTGTCCAGGCCGTTGAGCGCCTGGAGCAAGGTCGCCGCCAGTCCGCATGCCTATCTGGGGCCCTAATAAAATCCTGTTACCAACCGTCCTCTTTAATGATTGCTGGTGATGTATTACCTGCTCGCATATTCTCAAAGGGCGTTCGTGATGCTAACTGTGTGAATGACTGAAATCTCTCGCCGTTTGACAGTTGCTTACCTGCACCCGGAAGCCCCCTCCCACCCACGGTGGGGTTAATGCTTCGATCTTGTTGGCTGTCTGTCGGGCTCGAGAGGCCATTCCGTGTTTGGCCGAGTCCGGGAAACGCGCTGTTCGTATTGGTACCGAATGCCGCGGCATTTTGTATCAACCCTGCTCTTCGGTCTGGAGCAATGTCTCCGCCAGCACCGCCTAATGGGGGAAACTCCTCAATGTTGCCAGTCTGTGGCTGGACGCCTCCGAGTTGTCCGACACCACCTTGTCCACCAAACCGATAGTCATCACCGGCTCCCGAAAACTGACTTTGCGATGAGTCATCCTGGCCCTGATTCTGGTGTTGCTGGCTCGCAGCTTGCCCAGCCTGTCCCTGGCCCTGCTGTTGACCTTGTCCTTGTGGCCGTCCTATGGTGTTCTGTTGATTCTGCTGCGTGGTTCGCAGAGTCGGGTTGGCCCACATCTGCTGCGCAGACGTGTTTTGCTGCGTCTGTGGTGCGCCTGATAATGAGGGGAACTCCCTGAGATGGTCAACATCTAGCTCATGCTTTTCATGTAGTATCAGACTTTGTGTCCCAACGCGTGCCCTGTTCTCACGGCCTTCTTGCATCTTCCTGGTCATTGCGTATGTCGACTTACTCGAGGTTGAGCGGCGTATGTGGCTGCGAACCACCCATTGCTTGTGCGAAGCTTGACATGGCACCGTTGTTTGTCCGTGTTTGCGCGTTGGATAGTCCTGGGGCGCCCATGGGTGCTCCAAACCCCCATTGAGACGCGCCTCCTGCCGCAAACCAGAGTCAGTACATGGATGCATCCGTTGTGTCCAGGGCCAGTCTCACCCATCTTGCCGTTTTGTAACCGATTCGCGCCTAGGGGAGCCCCACGGCCTGGATTTTGTTGTGCTTGGAACATGGCTCAACTCGTATGTAGCAGCGGTTGTGCGCGCTCTAATCTGGGGAGAAGGAATGGTCAGTTTGATGTGGTGCGAAGAGTCGTGCTTGTGCTGTGCGTCGAGAGACAAGGCTGGAGCCGGGAATAGCTGGACAGGGCGCGTGGTGAAAACAGCTACGGCCGGGTGTTTGCGATGCATACGGACTACTTCCTAAGTGAAGGAGAAAGTTGTCGTGGCGGGTAGCTTTGTTGCGACGTGCGGCGTGGTGCGAATCCGATCCAGAGTTTGCAAGTTGTACCAGGGCAGAGACAAGGGCAGAAACAAGGGATGCCGGTTGAGGGATTGTTCACGAACCTGATTACCGTATTGCTAGCCGACTCGTGGGTGCGTGGGTATGTCGAGATCACGATGTCATTGTCCCCGTCTCGCGTGCATGAAGTTGGAGGTTCCGAAAGCCAAAGGACGCTAGATCGAATTAGCTCTAGCACAGAATTCGGGGAACAGCAACCGGTGGATCTTCCGCGGCAGCTCAAAGGCATGGAGCAATGACCTGCATGCTCACGTTGTTCTGTTACACGGCTTGCCTTCACTTGAGTCAGAATAGGGAAGAAGTATTATATAGAGTATCTTTTATACATTTTGGTGAGTAACAAGGTACACTAGTCTCCACAAAGACATTGCTAATCATTGCCAGGCATTGGCGAGAGAGAGGGAGGGAGGGAGAGCAAATCGTGGTTGGACCTACTTGGATCCCGACATCTCTCGTTGGGGTATTTTGGAATATCAAGTACAGATCATCTGAGTAGTATTTTATAGTTGAAAGTGAGCATGGATATATCTATGTCCATACAGCTTGCTCGCCAAACGCCCTGCAATGCTTTCTTCTGGAGAAGGACGCTCAGTCAATACATTTACTTAAAAATAGGCAACATCGCCCACAACACATTGCAAGCTCATCAAGGACCTTGTTGAAACAAGTGTGACATGTCCGTTTCGCCGTTGATGCCAAAGAAGTTGAACCTAGCCAGAAAGTCAGTCGTGCCAGAGATGATGGCAGAATGTTGACGTACCAGTCATCCACATTCAAGCTCATGGGAACAATGGGGTTGTGTCGGCCTCCAGAGCTGTTGCTCCAAGCATCGTCCTGTCCACCATGCTGCTGCTGATTTTGAGACATCATCTCCATTTGTTGCTGCCAAGCCTGAGTGTGGTTCGGCTCGTATCCCACCATGCTTACGTTGGCCTGCTGACTACCCGCAGCCTGTTGAGGCATGGGTATGCTTTGGGGCTGACTTAACGCGGGATCCACAAGGCTTTGGTTCTGCATTGGTGACATTTGCGGAAAATTGACTTGTGTGTCGGCAGGAAACAGTTGGTCTGGCTGGAAATTTTGCCAGACCTCCTGGCTGATGTTTGGCGTGTCGCGGGTGACTAAGAACAGGTCGGGTGGTGTGCCTGGGTACGAGTAAGATGGATTGAACGGGGTTGTGGGACGCGTTCCAGAGCGTGAGGGTCCCATGAAGGCATCTTGGTTTTGGCGGTTCATTTGCGGCGACCCTGTAGTCATCTGAGGCATCTGCTGTTGGGGCTGCAGGTCGCGCGAAGGTGTGACTGCAGGTGTCTGTGGCCTTGAACGTTCGTACGATACCTGGGCCGCGGGAGGCCCACTCGGAACAGGGAAGCCTAGGTCCATGTCGTCAAACTTGCGCTTGGTCGATTCCTGAACAGGCTTTGGCGGGGGTGGGGCCGGCACGGAAGGGACCTTGTTTTTCTTGTGGTTTCTACCCGCGGCTTTCTGTAGACGTTCCTCTAGGTGCTTGTTACCGAGAATAGACTCGAACAGAGTGTGAACCATCTTTGCAACGAGCCAGACCTTTGAAACCTCCTTCAGTGCATCCAGGCAAATCTGCAAGCGCTGCTCCGTTGCCGAGACGATGGATTTGTTTGAGGATTTCATCTGATACACATGCATGATGAGTGCCGAGAACAAGCTGTACACGATGAATGCAGGCGTGAAGCGAATCTCGTCATGGGCTCGAAGGTTCTCAATGATGGACGTGATCATGGCGGCCGCTTGATAGGCAATGTTTCTCGAAGGATAGGTATGCTCTTCGCCGAAGCCGTCCAAGTGGTTTGCCTTTGGCGAGCCTGCCGGCGGCATGTGCGCCCGATGCAGAAGACAGAGCGTGGTGCTGCATGTGTTAGCCAAAGGCAATTTGCAGTTGTGGAAATGCTTACTAGTAGTTGGAGTGGAGCAAGGCAGCCCAGAAGTGGTGGCGGCTGCGGTCCCATTGCACTTCTGGTGGGCAGTGTTGCAGCCAGTCTGCAAGCGCCATGTCGCTGTGTGTGAGGTCAATGGCGTTTCCTCTGCGATGTTTCGACGCCACCGAGTACTGCTGCGAGAGCACCAGGCCCATGATCTCGCTCAGCTTGACATAGTTGATGAAGAACTGCACGTGCACGGGATCTGGCGGATATTCAGCCGGGTGATCCGTCTCATCGTCAATAAAGTCATCTTCCGAGACCATCTCGACATCCGAGTCTTCGGGGTCGATAGCCACTGGCCTGCCAAGCGCGACTGCCACCGAACGGTCTCGGCTGTACAAGGTCCACCAGATGCGCTTCCACAAGCGCTTGTCGGAGCGGGAGAGCTGAGAGCCCTCGACGCTGCGGTGCATGCCTGAGCCCTGGGCGACGACGATTGCGACTCGCGTCCAGTAAAAGACGTTCTTGGTCACGTCCTCGGGGCCTTCCCAGTACCAGCCCATGAGAATGAGGGCCTGGACGATGGTGACTCGGTCGTCTTCAAAGTTGGCGTCATAGAGGGCCTTGGCGCGCTTGTAAAAGGTCATGGCAGCGGGCGTGGTCGAGCCGCTCGAGTCCATGAGCTGGGCGTTTGTGCAGACGCGCGAGCCGGCGAGCAGAATGGCCTGCAGCAGAAGAAGCGAAGGCGGGTTCTTGGGGTCGCGGTACTGGCGCATGAAGCGGCTGCGATTGATGACGGGGACAACGGGGGCCACCCATTTGAAAAAGGCCTCGACAAGCTCGTCACACAGGGCGCGCGGGGGCAGCAGGAAGGCGCCGCGCTGGTGCAGTATCTCAATCTCCATGTTGTCCATCTCGTTGACGCGGGCTTTGGCGCCGCGCACATTCTCGGGCAGGGGGTAGTGGACGACGTCGGTGGTGCCATAGCGGTCGTGGACGAGCAGCGACAGGTTGGACGACTCGCCGAGATATGCGACGCGGCCGGCTTCCTTGATGGGGGCGCGGGCGAACTTGGGCTTCATGAACTGGGCGTAAGTGCCGTTGTGCGTGGCCTGCTGGGCGGCATAGGCCGACGAGACCGTGGTCGAGGGGGTGCCGTCCTCGGCGCTGAATGCCGTGGCTCTCTCGCGCGCGTCGACCGAGGTGCTGGCGGGGGAGCGGTCGTCGCTGTCTCCGCGCTCACTGTGCGTGGTGTTGCAGCGTCAGCATGTGCGCGGGTATGCCGGTGTGGCGGGGCAAGGTGCTGGGTACCTGTCGACATCCTTTGCGCGGGCCGCCTGCGTCTTCTTGCGCTTGGGCTGGGGGATGCGGCACTCGATGCCAAAGGCAGTGCAGTTTGTGCACGGGATGCCGAGCGAGGCGGCATCGCAGCGGACCTAGAGCTGGGTGAGCATGGGGCGGGCCACGGGGGGGGGGGGGGAGGGGGCAGCGACGGGGGGCCGGCAGTGGGCGGAGCGGAGCGGATTGGGCTGGATTACTCACCTTTCGCGCGTGGCAGGCTGCGATGCGTCGTCGTGGTTAGCATTTGTCTGGTGGTTGGTTTGGCAGGGAGGGGGAGGGGGGTGAGGTTTGGCGTGACCGAGGTGCCTCGGCTCGCGCAGTCGATCCCATCATCCATGGCCTACTACGTATGTACGGATGGACGTCTCTCTGTCGGTCGACTCGACTGCGAAGGCGGCCTCTTCTCTGGCGCGCGCGCATGGGAGTGCACTCACTTTCGCACGCTCTGCTGGCGCGCTGGCGCCTAAAGGAGCCGTGATTGGCGTCGGCCCGCTGGTATACTTGGACTTGCAGTATACTTGGACTTGTATGGGGACGCTGCTGACCTGGGCGTGCATGCTCGGCACAAGCACACGCATACAGCCAGCAGCAGCAGCAGCCGCCGCAGCAGCAGCAGACCAGCAGGCCGGCAGCCATGATTGCAGCTGAAACAGGCGCAGTGCGGCGCGCGTGTCTTGTGTCGCTGGATGCGTCGCGCGCGCAGGCCCAGGACAGCAGCCCAAAAAGCAAAAGCGCCGCCGTGGTGATGGCTGCTTTTGCCGTCGACTCCCGTGCGCCCCGGCGCCCGCACTAGTCAATACCATTGAACACGACCAAGTGCGGGCGAATCACAACCTCAACCTTCGAGCGACAAGTGCAGACAGACATCATGGCAAGCGAGCACTCCTTCATGGCCACGCCCGCGCCCGCACCGCCGCCGCCGCCGCTCGCCGCCCAGCCGAGCAGCAATGCGTCCCCGTAGGTGCAGCAGCGCGCCTTTCCAAGTCCCTGCTCATACCCAGACAGCCCGTCCGCATCGTCGCAGGCGCACGCGCAGTCTGCTGCTGCTGCTGCTCAGGCGCCAGGCCACATGCATCGTCTGTACAAATCTGGCCCGTCTTATTATTACTGCTCCTCTCCATGTATACTTCGACACATACTTGGCGAGCCCACCCACGTCGCGCCCCCTGTTCTCGACCCCGCCAGGGCTCTCTCAAATTGCAATCGACGCCTCGCCCCTCGCCCCTCGCAGCCGGAACGCCTCCAGCTTGACCGCCTTGTTGCGTGCGCTGATATACTCGAGCTGCACATCGCCCACCCGCTCCCCAGCCACCTCGTCCTCCGAAGCAAATACAAACTGCTGGTGCTCAATCGCGTCCAGCACAACCGCCGAGCCCTCGGCCCTGTCCACCTCGATTTCGAAAATCATCTTCAAGAACTTCGTCGCCGGCCGCCCAGCCCTCTCAACGACAAACGTGAACGAATCCACTTTGCGCACCACGCGCCTCGCTTCAAGCCCCGTTTCTTCTTTCAGTTCTCGTGCCGCGGCATGCAGAATGCTTTCGTCCGTGTCGTCCACTTTGCCCCCGGGAATCTCCTGTGCCGTGTCAATTCCCCAGCCAGCCCTCGGACATTTTACATCTGATAACCCCCCAGCAAAAAGAACACTGCAACTTACCCAGTAGTTGGGAAAGGCCGTCTCGTCAGCCGCGCGCTGCACCAGCAGAAGCTTGCCCTCTTTGTTGAACACTGCGGCGCCAGTCACCAGAACGTGATACTCTGCATGCTGGCCCAAGTACTCGGCTTCCGATACTGCAAACTCTTGTAAATCCGCCGCATAATCCAGAGGTTTCGCGCTGCTCATGTCGACAACAGGATCGTCTGACTTTCTTCTCAACAATGATTTTCTGAAACTGCACATCATGTCCATGTGGAGCCCGCCAGGCTGCCTTTTGTATGAGACGCTGCTGGTCGCTGCCTTGAGCACACAAGCGCGCCTTGCCTTCTTCGCCCTCGCCCTCTCGCTTGGCAGGCTGCCAGCGACAACATTTTGCGCCCTTGAATTCCGAAAGCTCGTGTGAGGAAGCGTGGGTCTGGTACGACTTTTTGTTTTTTTCTGCTTCTTTTTTCCGTCGTGACAATCAAGTCCTGACACGACTTGCCACTTGCAGCATACGCGTGGGCCAAGCTTTCGCGTGTCTAGCTTTGGCGCTAGAGGGTGAATTCAGTGCGTCACAACACCGACGCGCTCTCGTCACCATTGCCATTGCACCGTCGCCGCTCCCTCCAATCCAATCGCATGCACCTTCCCTCGACACCACTCACGACTCCTTACCTCAACCAGCTTACATCGACGACCTGCGGCCATGCCTCGCCCGCCCAGAGCAAAAGTCGCGTCGCGCGTCGCGAAGCCCACCAAACCAAAGGCCGCCCCCGCAGCCAAAGAGCAGCCCAAATCCATCCCACCACCACCCAACAAAACCGCCGAAACCACCACCAGCTTCAGCGAAGACAGCGATGGCCTCGTCACCAAGTCCAGATCAACGCGATCGCGCCGGAAAATGCCCTGGGAGAAGACGCCAGAGGTGCACGACGAAGCTGAGCTCACAATGACGGGCGCTCTACCAGCTGAAGCGCAACAGACCCCCGTCGCATCAAGCCATAATCGCACACCCGTCTCAAGCGCATCTAAGCGAGCGCGCACAGCGAGGAGTAGCGCGAGGAAGTCTACGGGCCACACGTCGCCAGCTGGAACGGTAACTGCACAAGATGCTGAGGCTGGAAGCCCCCATGTAGAAGAGGACAGTGGCTTTGGCGACCTGACTTTCTCTTCGCTCGGGTCAAACTCGCCGGCTCACGGCACACGTCCACCCTCCGCTATCAAGGTTGGCGCGACACCTGCACACGAAACATCTATACTAGCCTTGACCAACTTCAAGCGGAGAGCCCGACAGCCAAGTTTGCTGCGCATGGTGCAGCAGACGACAGATGTCGAAGACAATGACGAAGACAGTCTGGACAACACGGAGAATCTGGACTTTGACGACTTCCTCCCACACGCCGAATCAACGCCCCTGAATGTGCGAAGACATGTGCCCGAGGAAGAGACACGGAATGATAGTGGCACCCATGTCTCAAGCTCCGGCTCGCGTGGCAGGAAGCGCAAATTGACTCCAGTGGTTCAAGTACCACAATCCTCGCCGCCAGCCAGCCCCCAGTCTGACAGGGGCTCAGAGTCGCCAAGGTCTCCTTCTCCCAGCTTGCCAGAGGTTGTGCCGTCGCGTGAAGAGGTTGTTGAGCAATCTCAAGAGGATCAGGAGCCTATGAGCGAGACGTTGGCATCTCCCATGTCGAGCACTCCGTTGCGCCAACTATCAAGACCCCCGCCATCACCTACACAAGCCCGACCACGCCGTCGAGGACGCCCGGCCAAAACACCTGTTGACGACGACGAGTCCGATGGCGAAGAGACCGAGACGCCTGCCAAGGCCAAACGGACGTCGAGGAAAAAGGCAGAGCAGAGCATTTCGACGGCGCAACTCAAAGATCTGCTGCCTCGTCGACGCAATCGCTTACGTGATCGAGACGAGTTCGATCTGGAGTCTTCAGAAAGTGTTGAGCAAGTCGACTCGGACGAAGACGAGTTACAAATGCCCCAGCGAAGGATCCGTCAGCGGCAAGGAGCAGGAAGACTGGTATCGCCAAAGGCAAGCACAAAAACAGGGCGAGGGAAGAAGACAGCACCAGGAAGAGCATCAAAGGCAGCGCAAAAGGCAAGCAGGACGTATAGCCGCAGGATCTCTTCTGACAAAGAGAACGAGGCGGCTGCTCAGAACGAGGCAGAGACGACCGAGGTGTCTGCGATTGAGCATTCGGAGAAGCTGGCAGCGATAAGAAGGAAGTTTGAGGAGGTCGATGCCTTTGAGCTGGAGTTTGAAGACGTGGACCCAACTACCAGCTCCAGTCCGTTTCGATGAGAGCACATGTCGTCTAGCCCCCGGTCTGCTTTGTTTCGGCCTTGTTTCGTGGTATGACGACTGATGATTGCTTTTGTGGGCTCGGTGCATGAAATAGCGAGGCGTTGGGTCCAGGGCCATGCAAGCCAAGTCAATCACATAGCAACAGCATTTTCTGCAGCGTTAGCTGCAACATTCATATCAGTCGTGCTCTGGTGGTCACGTCTTTCGTTCAGGGGCTCAAATTGCAAGACCAAGTCGGCAGGATAGACTCTTGTTTGCTCTAGAAGACAGGTTAGGAATCTGTCGTAGGTTGGTTGCGCCAAGCCTTGCCACATAACGAACGCCAGAGCCGCCAGAACGCCAGAACAGCCAGTATCGCGTAACGGCCAGTTGAATGTAACAGCGAAAGCTGAAGCCGTTTTCAGCCCTACTACGGGCTGCAGGAATGCTTATAGCTGCAAATGCGAATACATGTAGCAACTACACATGCACGTGCACGTACCTAAGTGTTCGCCCCGGGCACATGTGGATGCGCCGCCGATGGTTATCCGGCCTTATCGTCGCCCGCGACAGGGCCTGGCTGTTTCGAGGCGGCGCTGCGGTAAGGGCCAGCACGCAGCAATTCCTTACGTATTGCATTTCATCTAAAGGCACTCAGGATGGTCCCTAGTGACTTGGCACGGCGCCTTCTGGCGGTTGGGCGGCACACGCTGCAGCAGTGGCAGCGCACGGCCGTGCTCTGGTTGAAGGGGTCGCAGGCGTCCGGTTGCGTTACGTAGCTTCCTTTCCCCAGCATCGGCATTGAGGCCTCACAACACCCCGGCACCCGCCCACTCCCTCTCTCACCGCGCCCCAGCACTCGCTCTCGACGTCCGCGCAAATGTTCCCGTAACCTCATGTCATGCCGCGTCCCGACCACTCGACTCCTCTGGCCTATGCAGCACCACCCTTACCCGCTCCACCTGGCGTCCGCATGCCATGAACCCCTCCAATGGCTCTTCGCTATCCACCTCGCAGAGCAGCTCGACATTGCGCCCGCGGGCCAAGCGACTGATCTCGCTCGAAGACGACATCTATGCCACCGACGGTAGCGACAGCAGCCCCAGCAGAGCCGCGTCGCAACTGGGCTCGAGGAATGTGTCTCCGGGCCCGCACGCACATGCCGCCGCCGCCGCCGCCCCGGCCTCTCGTATGAACCTCACCTCTACGCCCTCGTCCTTCTTCCAGCGCTCTGCCAGCGGACAGCCGCCCAAGCCGTCCTCGCAAACACTGTCGGGGCTATGGGGGAACTCATGGTCGGCCATCCAGGGCATCGCAGCCACCGTCATGGCCAGCGACACCGCCCCCAGAGACGTGGACGGGCCCCGCAGAAGGAAATCCGCTCACGGGCGACGCACCTCGACGAGCGCACCTCCGCCGAAACACTGGGGCCCCGCAGGCGCCGGCTCGCATGTAGGCGCCGGGACACAGGAAGAGAGGGAGGCCATGGTCAGGGCCATGAAGCGCAAGGACCTGTTGACCGCCAACGACCACCTGGTCCCAGACTCTGCAGGCCGTATGAAGCGCAGAAACTCGGACGACCAAGTAAGCATTTCCGCTCCTCCCGGCGAAAACGACGATCGAGATGCGCTGGTCTACATTCACCACGTCCGACCACAGGACACCTTGGCCGGGCTCAGCATAAAGTACAACTGTGATCAGGCCGTGCTGCGCAAAGCGAACCGCATGTGGCCAAACGACACGATACAGTTTAAGAAGGAAGTCGTGCTGCCGGTAGATGCTTGCGGTACCAAGGGGCGGCCAGTGCAAGGGCCGGATGCGCTTCCTGCCGAAGACTTGCTGCTGGGAGAATATGCCGATAGCTCCAATAGCAAGGATCGGGCTGCAAACACCGAGGGCCTCCCGAATGGCTGGAATACACCAAGGAAAAAGGACCAAGAGACGACTTCTGTCCACTCTGCCGACACAGAGCGACCATGGAAGCATGATTCTTGGGTGTTGCTTCCCAACGACAAATCACCAACAGAGATTGCCCGCATGCCACGCAGAGCGCTAGGTTTCTTTCCACCAGCCAGGCGGAAGTCCCAAGTCTATTCGGATGCCTCGACACCTCGACCATCCGTCGATGTGCCTCGCTCCTCTACGTCTACAAACCCCATTGCGAGCTCTCCTTCCCAATATGTGAGGCCACGGGCGTCTAGCAATCTCTCGTCGGTTTCGGCGCACGGTCGCCAAAGAAGTACGTCAGGCAGGGCCTGGGCTCTGCACGGCCCTGGAGGTGTGGGCACGCTGGGCCGGAATGTACGAAGCCCAGGGCCTGCGCAAGATAGTCTGAACAAAAAGTTTGCCCAGTATCTACCAAATGTGGCGCCGCCACCTGACCAGGAATACTTCACACCTTGGGCGCCCAGCTTGCTAGATGCAGGTGCAGGAACGCCAAGTCAACAAGGTGGCTCTGGGGCCATTACGCCACTCAGTGGCTCCGGCTTGGACTTTCAGGAATTGGGAGGTGCAATAGAGGGCTGGATGAGAAAAGTCGGCACCCAAGTGCAAAAGCTTCTGAATGAGCCAGGCACGCCCGGGCAGGGCAAGCGATCTGCAGTGCCTGTCATTGGAAGTGTTGGCGGCGATCTAGGAGATCTGATAGAGCTACAAGACGATGCTTTTGAAATTGGAGATGAAGAACGCAATAGGGGCAGGTCACGGGCTGAAGAGACGCTGGCCTCGACAAATGAACGCTCGACGTCGAGATCGGCGCAGCAGTACCAGTCAGCCCGACCAGATATTAACCTCGTGCTCAGAGAGAGAACACGAAAAAGTCAAGGTAGCAAGAGGGACTAAGTGGCAATGAAGCAGCTTTGGAGTTGGTACCGGAGTTTGTAGCTGCACGCATGCCTAGTTTGTTAATGGGTGTATCAAAGCGTTCGCATTCTGGGTATTTGCAATATATCATCTGTATATCAAGATGTCATAACTACTCCCATCTGCGGTCTTTTGAGAAATCGCCAACCCGCCCCTAGGGTGCAATGTCGTCTGGTGTTGATACAACGACGGTCCTCGTCGGATTGCCGAACGCCGTGCGCCTCCACAAGCACGTAGTGGGACTAGAGCGACTGCACCTAACACGTGCACACATCATTCTTGACTTTTCACGTCCGACACTAAGATCAATCCGTGAGCGTGGTTATCCTAGATGTTGGTTAAAAGTGCATTAGGCAGGTCGATTGTAGCGCTGCGGCATAGATCGGCATATGAAGCTACTCCACTCCGACTTGCTCGACACTTGACCGCGCCATCAGCTGGTCCCGCCCTCATTCCCACGCCGCCTTTGCTGTTGCCTGCACAACGAGCAGCCGAGAAGCATCCTCAGCCACACACTCGCTGCAAGTCAAAGCAACTCTCATCCTTCTCCAGAGCGCCGGCTGCACACTTCGCCACGATGCATCGCTCCCCCGCCGCCATGGTGACCAGGCCTCTCACAGACCCGAATATTCAAATTCGCACTCCGCGGGATCCGAACACGCTGTCCAACTACCACAACTTTGTCACGAGGCATACAAGTGTCGACTTTGATATTGATTTTCAGCGCAAGAGGCTGTTTGGGGGCGTGGTGCTGACGTTGGAGTCTTTGACCGATGAGGATGTTCGTGAGGTTGTGCTTGACTCAAGGTATGTGCAGACATCAAAAGGTGGGCAATAGACTACTTACAAACTCAGCTATCTCGATATCTCGGTTGTAGAGGTTGAGGGCGAGAGCGTCAAGTTCAGCGTTGGCGACCGGGTAGAGCCTTACGGCAGCCCGCTGTCCATCACCCTCCCATCCAAGGTACCAAAGGGCAAGACTATTGACATTGAGATCAAGGTTGCCACCACCGACAAGTGCACTGCGTTGCAATGGATGACGCCAGCTCAAACATCGAACAAAAAGCATCCGTACATGTTTTCGCAATGCCAGGCAATCCATGCGCGATCTGTATTCCCTTGCCAGGACACGCCAGACGTCAAGTCGACCTTTAACTTTGCTCTCCGTTCGCCGCTACCGGTTCTTGCTTCAGGTCTACCCACGGGCGCCAGTGACTACCAGCCACCCAAGAAAGAGGGCGAGAGTGGCACGATGAAGTACACGTTTGAGCAAAAGGTCCCAATGACTGTCTATCTCTTTGCCATTGCAAGTGGCGATCTCGCATCCGCCAGTATCGGCCCGCGCAGCACAGTCTGGACTGGTCCTGAAGAATTGCTCAAATGCAAGGATGAGCTCGACGGAGAAATCGAGCCCTTCATGAAGGCGCTCGAGTCCATCGTCTCCCCCACTTACCAATGGGGACAATACAATGTGCTCATCCTGCCTCCATCCTTCCCGTACGGAGGCATGGAAAACCCTGTCTGGACCTATGCCACACCCTCGATCATCTCAGGCGACAAACAAAACATTGACGTTATCGCCCACGAGCTGTCGCACTCGTGGTCCGGCAACCTTGTCAGTGCAGCTAGCTGGGAGCACTTTTGGCTGAACGAAGGCTGGACTACATACTTGGAGCGCAGAATCGCTGCTGCCCTCCACGGAGAGGCACACCGTCACTTCTCGGCCATTATTGGCTGGAAAGCCCTTGAGCAGAGTATCGAAAACTACGGCAAAGACCACCCTTACACCAAGTTGGTACTGGATCTCAAGGGCCAGGATCCAGATGATGCATTCTCATCTATTCCATATGAGAAGGGTTTCCACGCCTTGTACCAGTTCGAGCTGCTACTCGGCAAGGAGAAGTGGGACTCATTCATCCCTCACTACTTTGACACGTTCAAGTTCAAGAGCGTAGACAGCTACGACTTCAAGAGCTGTTTGATCGAGTTCTTCCAAAAGGATGCAGAGTCGAAAGCGAAGCTGGAAGCCTTTGACTGGGACAAGCTGTTCTACGCGCCAGGCTACCCAGTCAAACCAGACTTTGACCAGACCATGGTGAAGAGCTGCTATGAGCTGGCCGACAAATGGGAGGCTCTGGTTTCATCTTCATTCGACTCAAGCGACTTCACCCCAAAGGCGTCCGACATCCAGGGGTGGGTATCCAACCAGTCAGTCGTCTTCCTGGAGCGTCTTCAATCATTTGCATCCAAGTTTTCTGCTGAAAATGTGCACTTGCTTGGTGCTACGTATGGCTACGATAGCACTCAGAACATCGAGGTGCTGTCGCGATACTTGAGCATTGGGCTCATGGCCAAGGCACAGGAGTCGTATCAACCTGCAGCTGAGCTGCTGGGTCAAATTGGCCGTATGAAGTTTGTCAGGCCCATGTTCAGGCTGTTGAACGAGGCCGACCGCAATCTCGCAGTCAAGACGTTTGAGCAGAACAAGGACTTTTACCACCCGATTTGCCGACAGATGGTGGAGAAGGATTTGTTTGGCCAGGAAAAATAAGTGTATGATGAATAAACAATGAGGTAGTATATTCACAAGGAAAATAAAACCTGCAAGTTGAAAGTATTCGAAAATTGCTTCTTGGTAACGTCTAATTCCAAGTTTTTTGTTCCGGCAGAAGCAACCTACTTCATAATCGCGTCATCACTAGCCTAGTCGGAACTTGTCCTTGACATCCCTCATAATGCGCTCACCACCACCGCCTCGGAATAACCACCGTAACCACCCCCAATCCTCGGTGGCACTCAGCCGAGAAGCCATTCCTCATCTCGACTTCTCTCGCGTCAAGAGCCCCAGACTAACCCCGCCGGCATACCCAAAGCGGAACTCCCGGTCCCCGCCTCCGCGCATCCAGAGCCTCTGCTTCTCCCCCACGAGCACGGTGCCGTCTGATTAACCCCTCAATTCACCCGGACCCCATTACTCTCACCCACGCTACCGGGCCATTGTATATAAAGGCGGGCAGTGCAGCCGGCTAAAAAAGAGAAAAAATGGCACCCCCCAAACGCGCGCTTTTCTCGCTGAACCTCGACACGGACGCCGACCACGTGTACCAGAAAGTCGAAGACCACAGCAAATCCGGCGACGACAGAGTCCGGGTGCTAGAAACGCGAGGTCCTACGCACGGCCATACAGACCTGAGCTTTGTCACCAAGCCGTTTGAGAAGACGGTCAATCGAGCCGTCAACGACGTGATTGACGGGACGGGCAAAAGAGTCGCGTCTAAGCAGGGAGAAATTACGTATTCGACTACGACAAATAGACGGAGTACTCGTCGCGGCGTACAAAGGGAATCGGACGACGAGGAAGACGTATCAGCAGGACGTTTGAATCTTGTTAGCAAGAGTAAGAGAAGGGAAATCGAAAGAAAATACGATACTTCTGAACTGTGAAAAAAAAACCCCCCATTTCTTCCCTGCAAAACACAACGAACTTGTTTTCGAAAACTTGGCATATACATCGAGTGGGGGAAAAAAAATGGCAGACCAGACTCCACTCCGCATTGTCGTGGGCTGCGACGACGCAGGCGTAGGCTACAAAAACACAATCATCAAGGACCTTGAAGGCGACGCGCGCGTCGCCAGCGTCACAGACGTCGGCGTCCCCTCAAACACAGACAAGACAGCCTACCCGCATGTCGCCGTCAACGCCGCCCAGCTCGTTGCATCGGGCCAGGCCGACCGCGCGCTGCTCATCTGCGGCACCGGCCTCGGCGTCGCCATTGCCGCAAACAAGGTGCCCGGCATTCGCGCCGTAACGGCACACGACAGCTTTTCCGTCGAGCGCGCCATCCTGAGTAACGATGCGCAGGTGCTGTGTATGGGCGAGCGCGTCGTGGGTATTGAGCTCGCCCGGAGACTGGTCAGGGAGTGGTTGGGATACCGATTTGATCAGGGGAGCGCCAGCGCGAAGAAAGTCGAGGCTATCATGGAGCATGAGAAGAAGAATTATGCGGGGCTGGTCAAGGACCAGGCTGGTCAGAGTTGCTGAGTGTGTTACTCAGTGTTTACTCGGTTCGCTGAGTTTATTGATTTATTTATTTATTCATTTCGTTTCTAGCGGTACAGAAAAACGAATTGCAAAGCATATACTTCTGTTAGCATGCCTTTCTTCTCTAAACCCCAGTGTATGCCGATGTAGATTTCTTTCCTTTCCCACTATTAACAACTCACAGACAGGCCAACCTCTCTCAGTCGTCTCAAGACCCAAACTCCCAAATATCCTTCTTGTACTCCTCAGTCAATTCAACATCCTCACCGTATTTCTCCTGCCACATGGTAAACCCACCGCGCAGCACAAACACCTTCTGCTTCTTGCTTCCCTCAGCCTCCTTGTCTTCCTCTTTTTCCTCGCTATCCACAGCCCTACTCTCCTCGCTCACCACGCCCTTGGATTCCACGGCCGCATGCGGCTGCAACCGCTGCTTCTCGCGCAGATAGCGCAACGCAGCACTGGGCCCGCGCTGCTGGCTCAACGCACAGTGAAACACGACCGTGTCCTTGCCGTGCAGCGCGCGCACCAGCTCGGGCATCTTGTAGTCGAGCTGGCTGCTGGGCACCCATGTCGAGCCGCGGATGTGGCCGCCAATGTGGTCGCTGTCGCGCACGTCAATGACGGCTGTGGAGGCGGGGAGCTGGCGTTGAGACGGCGATTCGGGACTTGAAAAGGACGACGCGAGCGTCTCGCGGTCCATGTATTGCAGGTCTGAGAGCGAAATTGTGGACATGGTGGCCGTGGGGTAGTGCTGGTGCTGGGTGAGGCTGAGACGGACACGAAGTGATGCGAGGATGGCGGCGGGGCAGCGGCGGTGCGGCGCTTTACTCGAGGGTTCCGCGGGCCGAGGGATTGCAAGGCGAATGCGAGCCAGTTTGGTAGTGACTGTGGTAGTAGTGACTGGATTGACGGTGGTAGTGGTGGTGGTGGTGAAGTGATGTTTGTCTGGGCGTGCGAGAAGAGTGACGTAAAAGTGTTTGTTGGAGGGGGGGTGGTGGGGCAACGCAACGCGTGGAGAGAGTGCGGCGCGTCGACACGTATGTGTGCTGGAGCGATATCCTGATCACAGGCCAATGGCAGGGTAAACTAGCATCTCCTGGCTTGCGGTTAGCGCGTTGATAATCCTAAAGACCACGACAGCTGCTGTAGTCTGGACCGAGTACAGGGGAGTAAACTTGACCGTCAACGTTGGACATTGCATTCAGTCCTACGTATCCCACGCCGCCTAACACATGACCCCCACCCAAAATCAATCTCAAGGTATAATACACATATTCCTATACACCAAACGCCAGTCCTCGAGTCCTTAGTCATGCTTTGCGCCTCCAAAGTTGCCGTTGCCCATGCCACCCAGTAATCCATCCTTCTCTCCCAGCTGGAAGTATGATCCCGTGCTGCCAAATTGCCGCCTTCTCCTCGACTTGCCGAAAAGGATGAGTCCGAGGAATGTGGCGATGAACATGATCATCGAGATAAAAGGATGGTTGCCGACAAAGCGGTGGATAGACAAGAGCGTGCCCATGACGCGTCCAGTTGTAGACTTGGGGGGGATCTTGGGAGGGTTGGCAGTGACCATTTTGATCGTTTCCAAAATGGCTGCACGAGAAAGGCGGATGGGTTCCCCAGAGACGGTAGTGTCCCAGTAGCGGCGGTTCTGTCTTGGTTAGTACAGGTGTTGTAATATCACAACTGGAGCATCTTACATCTTCATCGTTAATAATGACACTTTCGCCATCCTTGACATCGATGCCATACGTAGTCCTGATCCAGCGTTCCCAGAAAACGCCATCGACCCAAGCAAAAGCAACCTGAGGGCGCTGGATCTCGTCCATGTTGATACGAATGGACTTTGCGTTCCTGAGCGCACGCTGGTCGTCCTTGTCTTCAGCCTCTTCGATACGGAGCTGCTTGGCGTCACGGAGCTCCTGGCGCTCGAGCTGATATGCGGTATCCTGCTTGTCAATCCATTCCAAGGCAGCGCTCTTCAGTTCACGCTTGGAAAGAATCAACTCGTCGGAACGGTCTCGGTTCAAGATGCCCAGCACAACGAGCTTGCCCTCCATGATCTCGCGAGCATTCAGAGCAGTCATTTCCGGAACAATTGGCAACCAGACCGACTTCATCCAGGTAAGAACCTGCTTGACGTCGCGCATCTCGAAAGGCGTGCGTGGCGGGTAGTACGTGGGCTTTCCGTCTCGTACCACCATCAACCGCGGCCAAGTGGTGATCTTGAAACGGTCAAATAGGTCCGAATCCTGTGTCTTGACCAGCTTAGCATGGCCAACCAGGCTGAGAGGAAGTCGCTCGAGGGCCTGGAAGTCCTCGGAAGTGGTCGCGTGGTCGTAAAAGTAGACAAAGATGACCTCCTCGGTCTCCTCCATCTTCTTCAACCCTTCTGCGTCCACATCTGGCACACCGGCGCTAATCGCCGACGCCTTTTCAGCATAGTCGAGCAAATCACCCAACCCGCGCAGGCCGTGGTACTCGACACGCTCGCCTCCGTGGAGGAAGAGCATGGTGGGGTAACCTTGAACACGGGCGTCCTTGCACAGCTTCTTCTCCGCATCGCAGTTGACTTCTCCAATGTTCAGCTTTCCCTTCATCTGTCGTGCGAGGTTCGCCCAGGCTGGCGCAAGAGCCTGGCAGTGGTGGCACCATGGCGCATAAAATTTGATAAACCAGGCATCTTTGGTCTTGACGACCTGCTGATCAAAGACCTCCGTCGTAAGCGCGACGACTGCGCCCGATGGGTTGGCATTCGAAGCCAGTTTAGCCGGTGTGGGAGATGTCTTCTTCGCTTTGGTGGGTGTGGGACTTGGAGTTGCGCTTTTGCTAACGGTTGCCGTTGCAGCTTTCTTGTCGTCGGCCTTTGCCTTGGCGGTTTCCTTGGGTTCCGGGCCAGTCTCTACGGAGTTGGCGCCAACCTTTGGTAGCTTAGGGCCACCCTCCTTACGGGTGCCAGGCCGAATCGTCTCCAAAAGGCCCTCTATCCAGTTGCTCAATTCCTTCATGTCCTTTTCGCCGGCCTCATTCTGCTTCACCTTGCCATCCTGGATGTAGATCATAGTCGGGTAGCTTACAATACTCTGTTTGGCGCAGAGATCGGCATAGGCGACGCAGTCAATCTTTGCAAACTTGAAGTCGTAGTATCGCGTAAAGGAATTCAGGGAATCGCCATCGGAATCGTCAGCCGACAGAAAGGGTTTCGACGTATAGTAGAACTCGTATGCGGTCTGGTAGATGGGCTTGAAGCGCATGCAATGGCCGCAGTAGGGAGAGAAGAACTCGACGACCCTGAATTGCGGTCAGTGGCAATAGTCGGTACTGTCCGGGGCATGCCTTCTACTTACCAGTTACCCTTGCTTGTTTCTTTGTCGTAGGTGTCTGGCGCCAGCTCTATCATGGGCGGCACAGTCTCGCCATTGAAAGTAGTCTCGGAGGGCGTATCATCCAGGTCGTCATCGGCCGTGGCTGTTGCCTTTGGCGTGTCTGCAGCCAGAGTGCATGCCACGGTCGCCAGCGACAACAGAGAGTAGAAGATGGAGCGCATCGTGGTGGTGGCGGACGGGATGCCTCTCTCTCGTGCGCTCACAAAATGGAGAGGAAGCGTGTCCTTGGGTGTACCATGGCGTATGGTCCCTGAAGGAAGGTTAGTCGCCAGGGGATCGGCGGCGGCGGCTCCACAAGGCTTGGCATGTGCCTCTTCGTCCTGACGGCATCACGACTGCAGCGCCGCCAGCTCCATCCATTGCGCTGCGACCCCACCTCGAGCACTCCCGCAACCATGAAGGCCGCCTTCCGCCTCCTTGCCAGCGTCAAGCCCGGCCAGCTTCTCGAAGCGGGCCAGCCGACGGGCCTCACAGGGCTGCTCACGCACCCGTCGCCGCGCTCGACACTGCTCTACCACTACCACTCGACGCTCGACAAGCTCAAGCAGATTCCCGAGTCGTCCGTGTACCGCCAGTCGACCGAGGCGCTCACCAAGCACCGCATGGCCATTATCGAGCAGTCGAAGCCGGCGGGCTGGGATGCGTGGCTGGACAGGATCAAGCTGCGGCTCTCGGACGACCCAGACAAGTTCCAGATCCTCGAGACATCGGGTGGACAGACGGTCATCCTGCCGGTGCCCGAGGAGGTTGATGAGCGATCTCCGGCTGCGGAATGGGATGGTGAAGCGGAGCAGTCGTTCCCCGAGGGCATTCGCTCCTTCAAGGAACGACTACCCCACACCAAGAAGATGAAGGGCGACGTCAACTACACACCTGAGCGGGTCTTTAGCAACGTCAAGTTTGAGCCCGAGCCTCAGTACACGGTTGAAGCGTATGTCACTATAGACGGAGTTTTTTTTTGAGAATGGGTTGGAAAGCTGACGGGTTGTAGCATCTCGGATCTCGAAAGCAGGATTGGCGCTGGCCTGATTGAGGAGGTTATTCAGGTTGCCGAGAGCGAGCACAAGCTTGTTGATACCATGATCCAGGCCAAGGTGTAAGTGATATTGCCAGTCGTGTTCGTGGCTTGTTTTGTTTAGACTAACATGACATAGTTGGGAGCCTCTTGAGGAGCAAGCACCAGAGGGCCAATGGTCATACTTTGAGCGGGTCGCACACACCAACACGCAGAAGCCATAGATGATAGTGCAAAAGACATGCTTGTAAATAGTAGTAGTAGTGGTGGGCAAGAAAGAAACAGTTGCATCATTATTTTCTTGAAATGTACATGGCAAGTTATTCGTAAATGTTGTGATGAACAGCCAATCAATGCCCGTTGCCGAATATCGACCATCACTTTGCTTGCCCCTCTCCGCGCAGACTCTCCTTGAGCGCGTCTGTCCTGATTTGATTTCGCTTTACCAAGATCCTCAGGGTATTCTGCTTCTCAATCTCCGTCATGTGCTCCCAATTGGCAATGCGCGACAAGGTGCCGTCCTTGTTGACGACGAGCGGCCCTAGGTGATCTAGCTTTACCGCCTGACCGCCGACATTGAGCTTGGTGGTGCCGGCGTCGTCAGAAGGAGGCTGGGGAAGTCCCAGTGGTGTCTGGTTTTCTGGGGTGTCGGGTTGCTCATTTTGCTGCTGCTGCTGCTGCTGCGTAGCGGGAGTGGTGTTGTCGTGCTCATGTGACAGGGACATTGTGCGAGGGTGTTGTGGATTTAAGCAGTACGCGGTAGTTTGAGAAAAATTAATTGCAGGGCGGGGAAGCAGTGCGAGAGGAATAAGTCTGGTGATTCGCATGGGCGGCATTGACGAGAGCAAGACCAGAGGTTTTTTGAGGCGATATTATACGTAGGACGGGTGTGGTTGCTGGTTGGGGATGACATGAGCAGGTTCTGTGGTGGTGCTTCTAGAAAGCTCCGAGCCGTTGTAGCAACACGACGCTTGTGCTTGTCCAAGAGAGCCGTTCGCGCTTAGACATGACGCAAAAGGAATTCAGGGTGCAGCGACCGAACACTTTGTTGCTTCTGGCATGCACGCATGTATAGTAGGATGTGGTTTTTTCTCGTCAGCCTGTCAAGAGCGTTCACTAGTATAGGCGCCACAGAAGCAACTGTGGCTGGAGTGCATCCTCACGGCTGCGTGTGTGTGTGGGGGGGGGGCGGCCCCTCTGGGAATCGGCAGAGTCCCACAGCAGACCGGGCCTCCGCAGCTGTCGATATAGTCCACATGTGGGAGGACGGGTCGCTTATCTGCAGCAAACCGTCTTGCATGGATTTTTCCTTCTTCTCTAGTTTGCCCAAGTTTGCAGCGTTGTCGCGCGGCGGGGGGGGGGGCAGTGGTGCAGGCATGCACCACGCTGGTTCGCATGTACCGCGAGTGGCTCGAAACGCGCCATCTATAAAAAGCCGCGATGGCATTGTTACACAGTAGCGCACCGGGACGGCAAAAGAGAGTTTGACACTCGCAGGGTTGCAACAGTGGGCGCGGGCAGGGCGGACCAAAGGGAACACGGCGGTGATCCAAGGATACATGGGAGGGCGGCGGGCGGGCGGCGAGGCAGAAACGGGCAGAGGCAACGACAGGCGCCATGCAGTCACGGCAGGACTTTTTTGCCATGGATGGCAGAGCCGACTTATCCATGTCGCGGGCGTGCCAGCGTGCCAGTCGCGGGGGGGGCGGCTTTGCAATGAGTCGCAGGAGTGTACTGTAGGCGCGTCGAAACAAAGCAGGGCGGCGTATCCGGAATTGTGCATGTGCAACCGCGCAGAATCGGCAGAGCAGCGCAGGCCATAGCCTGATCATTACGCCATGTGGACGTCAGGGGCCTGTTGCAGCGCTCACCGGTCCTTTTTCTTGTGATTTTATTTTTTCCTTCAGCCGGGAGGTGGGGGGGGCGGCGGCGGCGGCGGGGCGGCGGGGAGGGGTTGGGTGGGTTGACAGGACAGGAGGGTGAAACTCATGAGGTGCATGGCTGGGTGGCGGGCGTGTGCGGGCCAGAGGGCAGCTGCACGACATCCCGCCAGTGTGTCGCTGGGCTTGCCGGGTTGGGAAGCACTCACGGCCACTGGGTCAGCGGACAGCCCAGCACCAGTGGACAAGCCCACTTTGACGCCCACCTTCGGGTATCATCCACAACCCAGATCCGGGAGCGCAACCGCAAGTGGGACTGGAGCTTATTCCAACTTCCTCGCTGCGAGCCATGGCAGCCTCGCGGGCCTGCGCAGCGCTGCGGGCGACGGGGGCGCGCGAGGGGGATGCGCGAGGCTGCACCACGGCACGGCCTGAGGCGGGCACATGTTTCGGGCGTGGATGAGGGCGAGGCTGGAGGGCGCGCCTGGGGCTGGGGGGGGGGGGGAGGGCGCGGCGATTAGCAAATTTCAGTTCAGAGGGAGGGAGCACGGTGACGGTGACGGTGACGGCCACGGCCACGGTGACGGTAGCGGGTAGGGGGGGGGGGGGGGGTTGAGGCGGCGAAGGGGAGGGTGTTCGCAACGAGGTTGGCCGGTGCCGCTGGGGGCCTTTGCCGGCACCTGGCCATAGGCACATAGGCAGTCAGTGCATGGCACCATGGCACCAGCACCAGCACCAGCACCAGCACCCGTCCACCCACCCACCCACGCAGCACAGCGCCCACTCGCCCGCCGACGGCGATGTGGGCGGGCGGGTGGCATGGCATGGCTGGACAACACGTGGGGTCGCCAGTCAGTCTCATGTATGTATGCACCGTGACCCTCGCCGCGTTTCCTTTTGGCGGCCCTGGGAGCATGGCCAACCACGACGACGCCCATGGCAGCGACAGCGACAGCGACAACGACAACGACAACGACGACAACGACGACGACGACGACGACAACGCAATCGCACATGAAGCACCCTTGCTCTCCATGACAGCATGCCGTGTTGCCGGCGAAAAATTTGTCTGCCAGCGTGCTGCCGGCCAATGGCCACGTCCTATGTAGGCACTTGCCGTTGGCGTCGCAGCGCCTCGGCGTTTTCTTCCGCAAAGAGTCGCGCCTTGTATCATGCCAAGCATGTAACGTAAAGCATCGGGAGAGGGCAAGCGAGGAGCAGAGCAGGACAGAGCAGGCAGAGGCAGAGGTGGTCGGACGCGTACGTACATGCAGCATTGGCTCTGTGCACACGCCGATGGATATGGACGTAGCAGCAGCAGGTGTACATGTATGCATGCGTGCGTGCGTGCGTGCTCGACGGATGGGCATGTCTGTCTGTACATGTATGCGTGTGTGCCGCGTGCGGTTGCCATTACATAGCACATGCTCGACAGCGACTACATGGCCATGGGACATAGTATAGATGGATACTGGCTGTGTCAGCGTGGCTACCGTGGCCCGAGTCAGCAGCGGCAGCCGGGATGCCGCTTTCAGAGGCCTCACCGTCAAGCCGCTCTGGGAGGCGGGCACGGGCGCACCGTGACCAGCAGACGCTAACCGCGTCACTCGGTCGCTACGTAAGCTGACTGGCCCGCCCAGGGTCAACAGCGCTCGCGGCGCATTGCTGGCCAGCGCCGTCGTGCAGCATGCCCTGTTTCGATTTGACAAGACGGCGCCTCGACCTTCTACGCAGCTAGCCTGCCCTTCGAGAAGAGGGCTGTTTCAAGGCCTGCCGTTTGATTCGAGGGTCATGCAGCCGAACGATTGACGAGGCCAAGATTTGGCGGAGCGCCGTTGCAATCTCGCGCCCGGGGTCCCCTGCGCCCCGCTAGCCGTCTTGGGCGTAGAGCTACGTCACGCTCACCAGACTTTTCACCCTCTCGCGCTCCTCGGCGCCTGCAGCCAACAGCCACGCCCGCCACGCCGCTGCCCGTGGTCGGCCCTATACCGTCTGTGTATCGTGTGATTACTCGAGACGTGTGTGTGTGTGTGTGTGTGTGTGTGTGTCTATGGGAATCGCCATGGCCGAGTGTGCAGGCACCGGTGCATGCATGTATACTCTGCTGTGTGCGTGTGCGAGATGGACATGCAGCGATAGTGATAGCGGATGGAGGCTTCCTGGCCCGCCTACTGCCTTCCTTGCCCTTGCTCCGGCACCTGGTCGGTTTCATGGGCGGAGATAAGACACTAGCAAAGCCACAGCCGCCAGCGCGACAGCACCAGCACCAGCACCAGCACCAGCACCAAAAAAAAAGCTCGGCCCTTGTCGGATCGATGCTCGGATGAGTTGCTCTGCTCACCCCCTCGCCTCGCTGCTCTACCGATCCGATGGCTCTGACTCTGACAAGCTGCTGCAACTAAGGCGTACGCCGGCGGTGCTGTCGACGGACGACCGTTTCCGTGGGACCCCTTTGCGTCCCGTGGGAGCTGGGAGCGCAGCGCTGCGCTGCCTGCACCGACCCAGCGCCTGCGGCTCTTTGCTCGTGCTCGTGCTTATCGATTGCGCGCGTGAAACCCTGGGCCGACGCCAAAGAGCGAGAGCGAGAGCGAGAGCAAGAAACAGAGCGGCCAGCGGGCGGCCAGCGGGCGGCGCAAATAGACACGCTGCCTCTCCTCCTCTCCTCTGCTCTGCTCAAGTCAGTTGGGACGCTTCCTTGGCCACTTGGGACGCGGGCACGATTCAAGGGCGCGGCCAGCGCGTCGGCCTGGATGCAAAGGGCCTGCGTGCAAGGGCATGCAATTGGGTGCTTGCTCCGTTAGCACGCGAACGGCTGTCGTCATTGGCAATGCGCCTTTCGCTGAATCCGCAGCCCATACACACACACGCGCGCGCGCTCCCATGCACATGCAAGACTCTCCATGTGTGTGTGTGTGTGTGTGTGTGTGTGTGTGTGTGTGTGTGTGTGTGTGTGTGTGTGTGTGCGAATATTACAGCATACACGAAAAAAAAAAGTCATCCAGCGCAAAGCCCAGCCCAATCACGTGGAGCCACCTCTGCATTGCATCGTGCATCTCTCCTACTGCTGCTCCTGCCGCTGCTCCTGCCGCTCCTGCTGCTCCTGCTGCTCCTCCTCCTCCTCCCGCCCTAAACTTCTGTAACGTCGTGGCCTACACTTGCGCATCCCCGAACGCGCTTGCCGCGACGTCTCCCTTCCCTTCCTTGTCCACGCACACACGCTCACACACTCACACTCACACTCACATCACACTCTCACACACACGCATACACTTACTACATACATTCACCTCGCAACCACATCCGCCTGCGGGTCTTCGGCCTCCCTTGCCTCTTCCCCGTCCCTCTTCTTTCGCTCTTTTCATCCACCCGGCCCACTGCCCTGCTCTGCCCTGCTCTGCCCTCCCTGCCCTCCCGGCCCTGCCCATCCTCGACATCCTCTGACACGCCCAGTTCGCTGGCCAAATCGGCGCGCGCGCCATACCACGTCGGCCAAGCTCCGGCATTCAGCAGCGCGGAAACAGGAACTGCTTGGTGCGGAAATTCCGAGGCTCCCTCCCTCCCTCCCCCCTCGACCGACTGGGACCACAGCGCCCGCTGCATATTTTTTCGCCGGCCGGTACCTCTACCCCGAGCTACCTTTCCCCCCCTCCCACCCCCCTCCCTTCCACCCAAGCTTTGCCCCCAACAGCTCTCACTCCTGTCGTGGGTCTTCCGTCCCTGCCTCGTGCCTCGCCAACCTCCACTTGGTCTATCCGCAAGCTGTCGGCTGAGGCTGAAGGGTGTGTGGGCCGCCGATCTGCAGCAGGTCCCTTGTCCCTTCGCGTGAATTACCGCGCGAGCCAGCCAAACCATCGCAGCGCCTTCTCGCTAGTGCAGCGCGACAAAAGTTCCATCGTCACCGACCCATCACCTCTTTCAATTCTGCGCCCGTCGCCACACCTTTCCCCCCCTCACAACCTCCTGTCCAACCCCCTCCCCCATCCGTCCACTGTGGGCTCCCGCACAATTCCACTCTTCTTCTCCTGTCAAGAGTCCCCGCTGACGGCCGCGCCAATCCTCCTCCTCCACCACCATTCTACCAGCACGACTGACTACCACGACTAACTGTCGGTCGTAATCCCCCACACAGGGCTCCACCCGACAAAGCTTCTTCGCTGGGCCTTTGCTGCTGCCTTGCCCTCGCGACGCCAGCCGAACGGCCCTCTTTTGGTGTGCACAGCCAGCCGCTGCCACACGACTACTCCGCTTCTGAGCTCCGTCGAATGGTCCCGTCACGAACCACAATTGGTCGCGCCTTCCCCATCTCCTCATCCATCCACGACCCGCCCACAGCAGCAGTAGCAGCAGCAGTAGCACCTGTTCGCTGCACTCGTACATAATGGACAGTACAGACCGCTTCCGCCAGCCTGGCCTGGGCAACTATCCATCCATAGGCCAGCAGTTCAATGGCTCCCAGAACCAGCTGCCCACGCTGCCTCCTCTACAGAGTGGTGGCAGCCAGTATGCGCCGCCCATGTACGGCCACAACAGCAACCCTCACACGCCCCAGCCCCCGCATACGCCTGTAACATCTGCCCCCAACGGTACTTCGGCCATGCCGCCGCTGCAGCACCCGCCCCTGCGACCTCTCCAGCCCACGCCCACGTCGTACCTGCCCATGAGCTCGGCCTACTCGCAGGCGCCCATGCTGTCCACAGCGGCCGCACACACCAACGGCCACCAGCTAGGCCCCTCGCCGGGCCTGGCTCTGGGACACACGTCCATGTACGCGCACCCGCCTATGCTACCCAACCAGGAGCCCGAGCCAGTCCACGTCGTTGGCCAGCAGGGCCGCCGCGGAGTCTTGCCCACGCACCCTGGCCGGCCCGCGCCCGCCGCTGGCAAGACGCCTACGACTGCGACCAAGAACGCCGAGGGCAAGTATGAGTGTCCGCATTGCAACAAGACGTACTTGCACTTGAAACATCTCAAGCGCCATCTGCTGCGCCGTAAGTCTACATGCCTTTTTTTCTTTCTTCCAATCACAGCCAGCTGCTAATATGCCCTGCCCTCTCCAGACACCGGCGAGCGCCCTTACCAGTGCCATCTGTGCAAGGACACGTTTAGCAGAAGTGACATTCTGAAGCGCCACTTCCAGAAATGCTCGATAAGACGCGGCAACCCCACTGGCGCAAACCATCTCCAGCACGCGCAGCAACATTTGCAGAAGAACAGGCAGCCCACTGGCGCTGACCAGAACTCGTACCTCAACCACATTGGCGCCAACTCCATGTCATACGCCGATGCTGGAGGCTACACAATGGGCCTGCCGCAGATGCCTGCCATGGGTGCCAACGGCTTTGCCGACAACCTGCCTTCGCTCGCCAACCACCAATCCATGTCGGCACGCACCTCGCGCTCCAACAGCCTGATGCGCCCCAGCAGCGGCGTCGAGGACAGCGCTCACCGCCGCAGCATGTCTGCCATGGACTTTGCAAACGCGAGGATGAACTTCAACGACTATCGCCCAGATGGTGTCCCAAACGGCTATCCCCAGCAGCAGCAGCAACAGCAGCAATCCCAACAGCAACAGCAGCAGCAGCAGCAGCCCCAGCCCCCGACCAATGGCTCTGACCCCAATGCTCACTACAACTACGAACATGCCTCCACAAACGGCTCCATGGCTCAAAATGGCCTAACCGTCAAGACCGAGGGCACTGACCCCACGTCCTACGGAGTCTCCTCGCTTCCCAACGTGGACGGCATGACCAATGGCCAGGATGGGTCGCTGTGGCGGAATGGATCGTTCAACGGCGATATGAATAATTCCAGTACGGCAGGTGGCCCAACCTTTCAAAAACAGGCCCAGTTCTGACCGGAACTTTTAGACCTCAGATGATACACCGAATGATACTTTGTTTGGATTTTACTCGCATGTTCCCGGTTTGGTCGACTCTTCTCCGACCCTCGATAGCTGGTTTATTGGACAATCCAGCTCTGATCCACTGCACAACCTCGCATGTTCGCTTGTGAACTTTTGCACCCCGAATACGTCTTTGCTCTCAGATCAACACTCGAGCGAGGCGTACGCTCATGAGAGATTGAAGACCATCCTGACTGGCGAAAATGTCAAGGACTTCCTACACGAATACAGGCACTACCACTCGCATTTTCCCTTGATACACATTGCAACATTTGATCCCTTTACCGCCAACCCGGGGCTTGTACTCGCCTTGTGTTGCCTCGGCGCCGTGTACTCTGACAAGATGACTCCCTCGGATGTCCGGTGGCTGATGGAGCGCGTCCGCGAGAATGTCACGCGATCCAGCCGTGTTTACGAGTTGGCAAAAACGAATCAAATGGCGGACCTGAACAACGAGCTGGCTTCGGCAACGGAAGAGATACAATCCATGGTCCTGCTCCATTCCCAATGCCTCTGGCACGGGTCGCAGGAGCAACGCCAACACGTGCGAGAGGAGATGGACGCCATAGTCAATGTGACACGATGTGCTGCACTCTTCCAGCCTCTTGCAGCCGACAATGTAAATGCCAGCGCGTTGCATCAGCCAGGACCAGTGACAGGCGAGGAGGTTGACTCTTGGAGTTGGAGTCTGTGGATTGAGAATGAGAAGCGCGCTAGATTGGCAGCATACGTCTACCTAATGGACGCTTCTTCTACCATTTTCTTCAACACCAAGCCCAGATTCAACGCCAAGACCATCACAGTCCCCTTGCCTGCTGACGACGCCGCTTGGGAAGCGAGAACATCAGAAGATTGCGCCAGTGCTCTGGGCCTACGAGGGCAGTCGGCACAGGCAATCAATGAATCTGGCAGCAGGCGTGCAAAGCAACTGGCCTTGTCCGAGGCATTGTGTGTACTCAACGGGGCATGCCCGGGCCAGTTTCCTGAGCGTGCCACAAATGTCTTTGGCAAGTTTATTCTCATCCACGCGATCCATGCACAAATCTACAACATCCAGCGCCAGCTTATTCACCGGGCGGCTTCAAGCAGTACAAGTGCGCCTCAGCCCCAGGGCGGCAATCCAGCCACACCGCCGAATGGAGTCAACGAACAAGTGCAGCATCAACTGCGCTCCACGGTTGGTGCTCTGAACCTATGGAAGATGTGCTGGGACAAGGATCTAGCCATCCAATTTACCCACCACCAACGTCGACGTGGGTTCTGTCGGGATGGCATCCACTTCTACTTCCTAGCACAGGCTTTCCTCCGACAATCACGGCCTGACGACTGGGCGGCTACTGCAGATGTACGATGCAGACACGTCTTCAATCTCCTCAAGCAAATCAGGCCGTATGTCGCCTCGGATTCAGCGCAAAGAGGCATCGAAATCGGTTCCATGACCGAGATTGCAGACGACTATGCCATCGCCGATCTCACGCTCAACATGAAGAACTTGTTCACGCCTCTCGAAACATGAGCGCCCATGGGAAGCTTTCCTCTTCACTTTCGACCCAATTCAGCTATCAGACATTATTCCTTCACAAACATCAGACCAAACCTCGAGCGGTGCAAGTAACCAGCTCCAAACAAAATCATCTTCGGTACATCATCCAGGTTTTAAAAGACGGGTCCCATCATGACCATCTTCAACACTACACCATTGTCATCATCCTCATCATCATCATCATCATCATCAGAAATCACTAGAACCATAAGCATCGAAGTTTTCCCTTCTTCTCATAGCACGATCAAGTTTTTGCCAGGTGTCGCATTTCCATCGGAGTCCTTGGAGTCAACCTTTGCACGGTAGTCATTCGACAGGCAAGGTTTCACGAATCATAAACGGCGGCAACATTACGATCCACCTTTCAACATTGAAAAAGCATTAGACAAGTCCATATCTCATGGTCTGCATTTCCTGGACGCGGCTGACCACTCTCGAACAACAACAACAAAAAAAAACGCCTGACAATTCGGAGGCGGAACAGAACTCTATCCGATCATCGGCTGTCTCTCCATCTGCAGCGCAGATTGAGCTGTGTGGGACGTATGAGGTCGAAAATTCAGTGTACATGTTCAATTTCCTATTTTCCTTGGTTTCCGCAAGGCTGCTGCAACTGCATCTTCACGGTGTTACTGCTCTTTGGGAGAGGCATAGATTAGAGTCCGTATGTAAGGGAAGCGCGCCGTGAGCACTGCCCCATGGAAAAGTCGTCAATGAAAATACGTTTGCTTGAATGCTGGTGCATGAAGGGTGCCTGTGACCTTTTGAATGTGAGCCACAGAAGCTAGTTCCAGGCAGCTTGGGGCTGGCCATGTCTCGACCCCTTAGCTCCAGTGTGACGTCCAGTTAGGGGTTGCGTGTCGATGACGTACTCTCTGCGCACTTCCCCGTTTATGCGACATTTCCCAGCCTCTTCGCTTTGTCTTTCCAAGATGGCACAACATTCCCGCACGCGCCATTGGTGGTGAGGTGCATATTCCATGGTACACGTTCTTCTCAACACGAATCAGTCAGCACGTCAGCCGTCATGCCTCGCCAAAGCTCGCCAAAGCACCATTCTCCGAGGGCAGATGGGTTGCGATTAGGTTGTCGGTTGGACCTTGTTGCGACCGGCGTATCCTGGCACATATTATACGTTAACGGACTCAAACCTTGCTGCATCTGCAGCAGCACTCTTCACTTCTACGTCAACAGCTCTGTTGACATAGCCACATTGCTATGATATAACCCGAGCGGTCGAGCCTGAGCAAAGCAAGAGAGATACATGGCAGACAGCTCGATGAGTGCAAAGGAAGAAGCAATCATGAAAAGCATAGACTCTGCCGTACCATGTTTGCAGCCACATCAAACCCCGCTTCGCGATGATCACGGACCGGAACAAGTTCCCCGACGTACCAGGAAGCTGCCTCAGACCCTGATCAGCTGTGCCGCGCCCCTATAAACAACGCGACTTGGCCTTGCGCCTGGCAGTAGAGGGTTTGCGACACGGTCGGCACCGGTAGGCGGCTCGTCGCCTTTCCCTGGTCTGGTGAGCACACAACCTTCTCTCACCCGCGCAGGCTTCGCCACCAGAATGATCTTCAAGAATGATCTTCAGTCGGTCTTTTAGCAGGGAATCGTTCAGATGGAGGCTATAGAGTCTGGAATCGGCGCACGTGTCGCCTGGGGGCATGGCAGAAGCACCGGACTCTTGCTGAATGCCATCCACACACCTAGCCCCCAAGAAGCTGAGTATGTCAAGAAATTACATGGCACGGCCCCCTAGCTGACAGTTTCTGCGACCCAGATTTAGTGGCACAACGATAGCGACAGCACAACGCGCTGTGGTTTTTCCCTCGCCGACCGAGGTGCGTGTCACGAAAAATGGCAGAATCTCGGCAACGGCTCCTCGACCATCGGCAGTCATAGCACAAGCCCTCAAATATCCGGACATACCACAAAACATACCAAATGACTTGATTGAAATCCCTACATCAGGCATAGATGCATCTCCTAGCCCGTTTGACCGCGTGCTGACATCACAAATACCAACGTATCCAGTAATACCGCCACTTCAGTCTTCCAGTATGCTGAACAATACACCTCGGGCTTATGCCATTAGTATGTCTCCAAGCAAACGTTTGCCAGGGTCATCGGCCATGAAGCTCACTACTGTACTTGAGCACAAGCCACCGACGTATCAGCCTGCGCGGATAACAGCTACATACAGTGCCGAGACGCTGGACATCTTTGAGAGCGACAGCTTCGCTGGAGAAAATGACGGCGTCTCTAGCTTCCTCGAAGTCACCACACAAGACAGATGTTCGCGCACATCGACCATGTCCTCGGTGCTATCAGCAGAGTCACACCAGGCCCCTGGGGCCATTTACATTCGCCCGTCGGCGCAGCTACAGAACATGCAGTCCATGAGTGACCGCGATGCAAGGCTAGAGGAGGCTGCGAGGTACTACCGCCCCGGTGTTGGCTGGACAGTAGGCCGAGCGAATACTTCGGGGGTCTACACGCCCACCGGAACCCCTGAATCCATTTCCAACATTCCACTCCAAAACCATGTGTACCAAGCGCATTCGAATCTCAACCGTTCTCTCCGACCAATCCAAGATATTTCACCCAGTATGGGCATACACAACTGGGCCAAATCGAGCGAGTGGGTGGAGCCCTGCAATACAGGCGAAGGACCAACCGAATGGATCGAGGACTTTCTGAGCCGCAAAGAGCAGGCAGACCGCGAAGAGGAGGAGAAGATGCGTAACGAGAGGAAAGAAAAGATTGCCGTTATGCGCGGGAACAGCATTGGCAAATTCCGGAGAAGGCTCAGTTTGAAACGGGGTACAGAGGAGAGGAGAATACGAAGAAGCGGAGAAGCACGATGGGAAAGCACAGACATTGCCAACATTCCGGAGAGGCCACGAACATTTTCTTGGGACCTGGATACGCATGAAGATATTGGAAGAGACGCTTTGCCTGATTCATCAGGATCAGATGGCACACCGTCGCCGCCGCCCTTGTACCACTCTGAAAAAAGATTTCACAGGTTACCTTCGACGCCCTATCGCCGGGGCCACTCCCAAGCTTTCTGCGACCCCTTTGCCTCAACACCCGCCACGCCCGCCACACCCGCTACTATTACCAACCGCGACTTGCAGCACTGCCACAAAAGCGGTTCAAAGAGTACACCGCAAACGCCGCGACACTCATCATATGTCTGTCGCACGCGAACAAGCAGTTTGCCCAAGCTACGATTCAGATCCGTATCCTTGACTAGCGCAGACGTGAAAAGAAGCCTCTCGACAAATGTCATCCCTGCGTTTGCAGAGGGAAGAAACAGTGTCCATGGATTTGTGGACAAGGTGGAGAAGCTGGGTGGCGGGTTGACGCGAGGACTCAGCACAAGGATTAAATTCGGGCTTAAAGGCTTGAGAGGCGGCGATGCGGTCAAGCAGTAACGGGGATATGAAAGGTGTGGAAGTAAGAATCAGTTAAAAAAAATTGCAATAAGCTGCATTAGCATGGTCGTGAATTGGTTTTGTTGTGGATTTTTTTTTGGCGCAAACGGCGTATATCGGAGTACAAGGGCGTTTGAATATATGCATGCATCATGTGAGGAATGTAGTAATTACATCAACTACATCTTATCATTTGATATATTTCCCTTTCTACCTCCTTTGCCTTGTACTTGTGCTTTACGGTGATGGATTTTGATCACGACAAAAAAAAACCACTTTGCCCCTCGTATGTAATCTACTTGACATTTAGTCCGTCTTACATTCACACCATGACAATATACATACATACAGACATAGTCAAAAATGGATATCTCTCTTTACTTCGTGGTAATTGTAGTCGTGTATATTTCCGCCACGAATACTCATCCCGCCCATATTGGCATTTGAACGGCAAGAGGAGGACACGGTGTGAGATACAGGACACTGCTGACTACAGAGGGGTGACAGTAAAAAAAAGTGTTTAAAAAAATAGGGATTTTAAAACTTAGATAACTCTGCTATTAAGATAGCTAAAAATAAGTAGGGCATAGATTTAGAATGTAGAGAGCTAGTAGTTTAGCCTAGTATACTTACTTTTTGCTTAGTAAGCGGCTATAGAGAGATATATACGCGAAAATATAGAGGAAGATAATCTATAAAACATATTAACGTATTCCATCACCGAGCGGGCCACATCACTAAGTGTGCCACTTTTTCTTAGCATCACGAAATTTATGTATAAAAACTTAGATTACTCTACACTAGCTATAGATGCTTTATATAACTTACTTATATCTAAAAGAGAATCTTCTTCTATATCTTTCTAGCACGTACAAGAGTTATAGCCTGTCCTCCTATAGGTTCTATAGTGCTATTAACCTAGTAGGGCCCTTTTTTAACTACCCTTACTACGTGCCTTCTTTAATGTCGTACAACTAGTAGAACTACTTTTAGCTACCTGCGATGCCTCTGCACTAAAGTCTAGTGTCCCACCTGTCTAAATTCGCTTTCTTTTGCGCCCTTAGCGCTGTGTTACTGCTACTAATTGCTCTTTAAGCTCTCTTACGTAGGCTGTAAGGGGCTGCGCTCCGGGGAGCAATCGCGAGGTATACAAGAGGTTGTATTCGATAGAGAGCTATAGAGTCTACTTGCGTGGTGTTTATTTACTTGTCGGAGAAAGGTTGCACCGAGTGTCTGAGCGCGTCGTCTGGGCGCCGCTCAGGCCTCGCACAGATGCCGGGTTGCAGAGTAAGACCTGGCGTCTGCTGCTTGACCGAGATTCCATCGAGGAGCTATCCAAAGGGCGTTCAGCCCGGTTACAATACC